GAACATAAGTAGAGCTGCATGCATGAAATCACAAGAGAAGATAGAAAACTCTTTTTAATGTTAAAATGTGAATCATTAAACTGTTTTCTGCATTATGACTTGCCCTCTTGACTTGATGAAAGAAAAAGTTTCAGTAAATCATCAAGGCAATGGTTAAAATAGGGTAAAGAATTTACCCCATCAAGATTAGTTGGACAAGGAACAGAGTTTCTGTATTGGCAAAGCCAAATTTTACTGCACCTGCGTTGTACCAAACTGGTATACTGAGAAGCCCTGTTACACGCAGTAACTGCAGCAAAGTATTAAAATGATCATCAACATTGCAAAAACATGACAAATTCATCTAGAGTTTATAAAAAAGAGAGTTGTTTTTCTATTTTATCCACAATGATTGCTATGTTTCAACTCCATATATATATCATACACATTGGCCTCAAACTTTTTATCTACAATTTAACGTCAAATAATTGAAATTTATGTGGACGTTTCTATTGAGTTCAAAGCCAAAAAAAATGAAGCGATTGAAAGACAAGAGGTTTGAAACTACTGACATCTGTTAGAAGAATTCCTGCAACTCCAAGCATTGCAAAGCGAGCATGAACCAGCTCTGCCTGCACATACCACCTCAAGCTTTCCGGGTCCTCCCCAAGCCCAAGCGGGTCAAACCCAAAATCCCCAGCCAAGCTAATTGAAAAGACGAAATTTCCCTCCAGAGAGAGACACAGAGGGTGAAGCTAAACAAGGGGGAAAAAAGCAAGAAAAAAATGAAACCAATATGAACAGCTTCTTGAGTGACTTACCTTCCATCAAGGTAGGGTGGGGGGTCGAGCCCAGGGAGCCATGTAGGGCGCAGCTGGGCATGCGCCACGTGTCGGGCAAAACCTTGAGGTTTTGCTGGTTTGACATGCCAGCAAGTGTTTGCTGCACCAAATGGGTGCTTCAGTACGTTCTTATTAGAAACAAAGGATAAAGAGCATGGCTGCACAAGGAAACCTCTCCCCCCCACTGCCGCTGCCATTTCTCTGCTTCTATCTTTTTATCTCCAGCTACTTTACCGGAACCCCAGGTCCACAAATTTTCATGTATATATAACTACGTAAAAATAAAAAATAAAAAGAGGGTCCACACAAACATAACATTTAGCAATTAAGGATTGATTACAAAAACACCCCTGAGAAGGGGAAAATGATGGGTTCCTGCGCCTAGCAATTAGAGGCTGCATTGTAATAGACTGATCGATCCATATCATCTTTAAATTACCAGGGAGGGTTTGAGGCCGATTTGATTTTCAGTCAATTAGTTTGAGGGGGTTTTGGTTTCTGTATATATTGAAACAGAGCAAATCATGCTTCATTAAGAATTACATCTAAAGAACATGGAACCACTTGCAAATCATTAGATCAACAACATATTCCATTACACTGAATATCACAAGTCATGATTACACATCTTTCCAAAAGTGAGTACAATTAGACATAATTCATTACAGAAGCATACCCTAATCGAAGAACATAAAATACAATTTGGAAGTTCTAAACAAAGTATTTGAAACTTCATCAATGCAGCAAAGAAAGCTGAAAGCAGATGAAGGGTCATTCATGTCTCTGAAAATAATCGCCTACTGGATATGCTGAAGGAGCTAACTTTCATCGGGGTTGCAATCACAAGTGGCGCCTCAGGTGAGTCGGTAACTGCAAATTTGTCATGCATGAAGCGACTGTCAACAATGGAATCATCCTTAAGGACTATCTTGTAGCAATAGCAGCTCTTCAAGCCCTCCTGGTGGCGGTAGCACTCATGTGAACCATCCTTCACCTGTTGAAAGTTCCAAATCACACTAAACTTGCCCACAGTTGCAACTAAATGACGCTCCTGCTTCCCATTCTCAGTGACCTAAACAATAATGTTAAACAAGATCATCACCAAACTACAAGAAAAGGCAAGCTGAGTTCACAAAAAGATGTATTGTGTGTATTATTAAATGAAAATACATAAATAAACAGACCTAAGCTCAAGTTCATTTGGTGAACCCCCCCCCCCAACCCACGACTCATTATCTTAAAAAAGGAATGACATGCTATGCAAGGACAATGTTCCAATCAACCAAAATCAGTCCTAACATCATCAAAGTACAGAAATCCTTCAAAAAGTCATGCAAGACAACGATCTTGGACGCACTTGTTCTCAAATCTTCCAAAAGTCATTAGAAGCAAATAAAATTGGGCATTATTAGAAGTTATATCCATCCCATTACTATGGAAAAGGTCCTGATTGAGATTTAGTTAAATCAACAGAAGAGCAATCAGAGTTCTTGATCTACAAACTACTAGGGCAATAAAAGGCAAAAAGGGTCAGAAAAATTAGTTCAAATCCATCAGAGGACTACCTGGAGAAACCTGCTAAGTAAAACCAATCCCAGCCTCCCTCTTAAGTAATTAAAAAATAAATCACATACTAAATAAAAAACGATGCCAAGGTTCACATCTCAAGCGGACTGTCCATGCGCATACTAACTCATGAAAAAGAATGAGAAAACCCTAACTCGTAGATCACATGTACTTTCTATTATTGCTATTTGTGTTGAGAAAACCCAGTCCACTAAATCATGCAGATTAAAGTAGATAGATTCAAATATTTTCAGCACCACCAATAAAAGAACCAACAAATACATACAAACTCCCACACAAAAACAGATAATATTTCTAACAGACTGAAAATGTATACTTACCCACGAAAACTGAGCATTACGAAACTTATTATTAACACCAGCTAAATGTGAATCCACAGCACTCAGCTTTAACAGTCTTGGAGCTGAAATTCTATTCCCCATACGCCCACCAAAACCAGTCTTTGTCTTCCCATCCTTATCAGCAAAGATGGTGCAGATGAGGATCAAATAGGTGTCCGTTGTGCCCAAAATCCACTTCCCATCAAAGGTAACATCCACATGAGTAATAGGCGAACCAAGGCCTGGAAAAGCTGTTTTCGCCTGCCTCATCGAACTGTTCGAATACAACCGGATCTTCCCATCAAGGGACCCAACAGCAATTGAGCCATCACCAGTGCTAGCAAAGCACTGAAAGTTCGTCCCTCTGGAGAACTGATGCCCTTGGTTCCAATTGAGAACAGGGCCACTAGCTGCTGCAAGGTCCTGAACCATCCCTTTCCTATCACGCATATCCCACCGGCAAAGCCTGTTATCATCCAATCCCAAAAATGTTGATCCCGAAGGGTCCAACTGTGCTCCCTTACTGTCATTTGTTATATCCCTCATTGTAACATCAGTCCCATCTTTCTCAAACTTCCACTCTGTAACAACCTTCCCAGTTTCAATATCAAACTGATGGAGACCTGTTGTATGAGGCTTCCCTTCATTCATAGGACTCATAAGGAGCATGTTGGTCTCGGCCTTCATTAGCAGAGCCTTCCTAGGTGTTGACCGTGCCAAACTCGAACCACCTCTATAACCTCCATCATCAAAATTGACATAAACACCTTTCCCCTGAATTCCATAACTAAAATTCTTAACAACCTGAATGCCAGACTCCCCCACTAAGAAACTATTGTCCAATGCACCCAATGCCAAGCTCTGTATACCACCATTGGAAGCCTCCTCAAACTCCTCTCTCAAGTCTTCATTTGCTCTCAATGGTGTTGCGGAGCCTGGGCTCTTCGATAAACTATCCTCTGCATCTTCCCACACTGAATCATCAGCCACTTCCGGCTTGGCCCACCCAAGAAAATCTTTCCCATAAACCTTAACCCTGTTCTCATCTGTGGCCTCATACCTATACGTGTTCTCGAACAAACAATCTTTGTACTTTGCAACAAACGCCCTATAGTCCTCATCAGTATAAAACTTCATTGCCCACACACCTCGCGTTGGTGCGCAGGCAATAAAATCAACACGGCGTTGATCGCCATTCAACTGCATTTCGTCCGAGACCTTAACTTTAGCCCGAATCTTGTCAGGGTCACCAACACTCAAAATCCACCAGGAATCCCCGCCTTCCTCATCAGATTCGTCTTCTTCCTCACCATCGTCATTATCAATTTCCATTCGAGAGGTCTTTCTAAAAGAGTAAGAAGTGAGCTTTTCGGAGGTTACCCATTTTCCTTTGGCTTGAGGGGTGTCTCCAGCGACAAAATGGTAGAGCTTGACCGGATTTTTGACATTTGGGTTGTACTTGAGCTTCAAAGCCTTGAGCATGGCGTCTACTTCGTCCACCGACGACGGGGTTTTGGGCCCACGCTCCGCCGATCTCCGACGCTTTTCCTCGACACTTTCTTCTACGTCCTCGTAGATCTCTTCCTCTTCACTCTGCTCTTCGTCAGAATCTGAAAGCTGGGGATCTTCGCGGCTGGGAGCCCCACCCATTGTCGTAGCTTTGCCTTTTGTGAATGGTAAGAACTGGAACATGTATGCAAAGGCGGAAAGTTTTTTGGCGTCTCAACTCTCAACAGTCAACAGAGATGGTATTTGAAGTTCAAATTTGAAATTTGAAATGGGAGCGCTTTGCGGTTTTTAGGGTTTCTGAAAGAGAAAGGTTTGAGAGGGTGGTAGGCCGTAGGCGATTCGGCGGAACGGATAATTTCTAAATGGGCCGGATCTTGGTCTATGTTCATATTAAGCTCGGCCAATTGCATTATAGTTTGTTTTATTTTATCTATAATTTAGAATAAAGAATTATTTTTTAAAATTAGAATAAAGAATTTGAATATAAAATCAATCTTTTCATGTCACGCATTCCATTTTAATCATAAGTAATATGTACGGATGTATTTTCAAATAAATTAATGAGAATTTTCTAAGGTTTAACAACTATTGAACCATTTATGGTTAAATAAATTATTATGTTATAATTGTAAAATAACGTGACATGTCGATGTAGTGTTAATATTCACACAAATTATAATATTACAGCTACAGAATAATTGTTACTTTTAATGAAGTCCACAATATTTATATCGGAGTAATTATCATTTTGAAAATATGGAAATGACCGTAATGAGGAGTCAGGACTAGCGATTAATATAGAGAGAGTAGAGGTTGCCAAGCATTTGCATTCAAACTAGACTTGCTCGAGCTTAAGTTTACATTCATGTCTTCCAATGAAGTCATCTCAATAACACTAATTCCTGGACAGCCATCCCCTCCAGTCTCTCTCATCATCTCCCTCACCCTAGCTACTTCATCCCACATTCCTTTAACCGCATATAGATTTGACATCAACACAAAGAACCCACCATTGTTACTGTCCAAGAAAAACAACTTTTTGGCAACATATTCCCCAAGCTTCACCTCTTGATGGATGCAACAAGCACTCAGCAAGGCTGCCCAAACTGCGAAATCGGGCTCCATTTCCATATTTCTGATGAACATCAATGCCTCCTCGAACAAGCCTGCACGACCAAAGAGACCAACCATGCAAGCATAGTGTTGCAAATCTGGCACCATGTTGAACTGTTCCCTCATGATTTGGAAATTTTTTCTTCCCTCCTGAACAAGGCCTCCATGAGTACACGCAGCTAAAACTCCCAAAAAAGTTATTTTATCAGGCTTTAGCCCCTGCTTTTGCATTTCTGAGAAGCAAGCAAGAGCTTCATGTTCTAACCCATATAAGCTATAACCCGAGATCATTGAGTTCCATGTTGCCAAGCACGGTTCTTTGATGCTCTTAAACACCCTTTCAGCATGCTCTATTTTTCCACACTTGATGTACATGTCTATAAGAGCAGTTCCAACAAAATCTTCCACTTCGAGATTGTTTCTTAGGACATAGTTATGAATCCTCTCCCCAAATCGCAAGTACCCAAGCTGGCAACAACCAGATAGTAAGCTAGAGATGGTAATGGCATCTGGACTGTGTCCAGACATTTTCATTTGGAAAAAAACCTCTAGGGCATCACTTGGCCTTCCAGCTTGTACACAGCCCGATATCAAAGAATTCCAACTAATCAATGTTTTCTCATGTATCTCAGAAAGTAAAGAGAAAGCAGTTTCTATCTTGTCAAACCTCGAGTACAGGCTTATCAACCCATTTGCAACCAAAGAATCAGCACTCAACCCACTCTTTAGCCCATAAGCATGAAAAGCAAGTCCAAGACCAAATTCAATGGGATCTTTTATCCCATGGAGGATGCAAACCATAGCAACTGCATCAACCTTAATTTCTAACTGCTGCAAGTGAGCAAAACACGACATCACCTGAAACAGGTTACCTTTCTCAGTATAGCTTGACATAAGTGCAGTTAGGGAAACCAAGTTCTTCTGAGGCAATGACTTGTAAAGAAGTTCGCCGGATTCTGTGTTCCTGCATGTTGCATATTGGCAAATTAATGAAGTAATCACAGAAGCATCATTGACAAGACCAGTTTTAGTGGCATGACAATGGGTAGACTCTGGATCGGCATTTGCTGACAGAAGGCTTACCATGGTCACCAGATTGGCTGGAACATTTTCCTCTTGCATTCGTTTAAAGGCAAGCATTGCCTCATCAAAGAAGCCATTTTTTCCATAAGCACCAATCATAGTATTCCATGAAACTACACTCTTCTCAACTATTTCCTCAAACAAGTGCTCTGCCGCCTCCAAATCTGCACATTTAGCATACATTGAGGTAAGAGCATTCTTCACATGAGAATCTGAATCAAGGCCCGCCTTAATTCCAAACCCATGAATAGATTTCCCTTGAGAAACTAACTCTTGCCTACCGCAAGATGGAACCAAACTAACCAAAGTCGTCTGATGAGGAAAAAATCCCCCTTTACACATTTGAACAAAGAGTTTCAACGCTTCAAAATCACACCCATTTCGCGAAAACCCACAAATCAACGCATTCCAAGAGACAATGTCTCTATCAGGCATATCATCAAACAGCCTATGAGCATTTTTAACGCATCCCAGTTTCATATACAGATCAAGAAGAGCAGTACTCACATACATGAATCGGTCAACACCCGATTTTAGCAAGTGTGTATGAATCTGATTTGCTTCTCTTTTAACATTCACGGAATTTGAAGCTGAGGAGGAAGAAGAAGACGAAGTACAGGCTTTCAGGAGCAAAGAGAAAGTGAGGTCACTGGGCTTCACATTGTACTGCAACAACTGGCGAAAGAGAAGCAGTGCTTGCTTTCGATTTCTGCTTTCAATGTAGGAGTTTAACAGAGAGTGCAAACAGGGAAGGTTAGGCTTCGTAGAGAGACCAACAGAAGAGGCCAAGTTCATATTCAGCTGTTTGGCGCCAGACTTTACAGGCGCACGGCTTCTTTTATAATTTTGCTTATAAGTTGGTCAACTTTCTTGACTTGTATTCGATCAAAGCCCCAAATAAAAATAAAAAAACACAATTATATGCAACATATTTTTCTGACCACAAATATAAAAATTAGTTATCTTTTGGTAGGATATAAAGATGTTTTAGATAATTTGATTATCGTCAGCATTCGATAATTTAATTGTAAATTCCCTTAAATTTAGATTGGTCCATTAATACAAATTTGTTTATTTAAGCGGGTTTCTTGCACGTACTATCAAGGTGCCATTAGGGTTCAAACTTGAGACCATTGATTTGCAAATCAAAACCCTTATACAATGGCCTAGACCCTTTAACTGTTTATTTAAGTTACAATATCCTAAATAGGACTTATTCTAACGCATAAGCGAAACAAGCTTTCTTCTTTCTAGTTCAATTTTTCTCCCAAACAGCGAAGTCTCCTCCACTGGTAGCAACATGGAAGTTTGACTTTGTCGGGTCAAGGTCTCCAAGGTCCAATCTTGGCCCAATCTTCATGATAATCTTGTCATCAATGTTGGCCATATATAGATCAGCCTCTGCAGCTAAAATAGTCACACTGCTCCTCGAATTTATTCCATTCCTTACCCTAATTGCAGTCAAATTGCGTATAGGCTCCTTTGGCCACCCCCACTCAAAGAAGTGATCATAGAACTGCATCCAAACAAATGGTTTAGAAATGAAATATCAAACACATTCAAGATTTACGTGCATTTATGAAACCTGTGATCTAAATTCATAAACTGACTACATATGTTGTTAGACGATCTACGAGAGAACATTTCCCTATTCAGTAAGATGATATGATTGATATGTATTACTTACTATGGTTGGGGTCCCAGGATGGGTGAGAATGTAAGCATATCCAAGCAGGACTTTGTCATCTGGGAAAGGCAAAAGTCTCTGAGACCAAGTGTCATGATTGTCAATAAATGTTACAGCACTTTCTGGTTTGATCCCAATCAACCCTGGTGGTTTTCCATTAGAATCCTTGAGCCTCCATAGCTCACCCTGCACAGCAACATTCAAGATGTACTTGGTTGTCAAATCGAACGCCGTGACAACGCCACCAGCAGCCTCGATCCAATTCACTATTTCATTCCTATGTGCATCTTGGTTCTTGTCAAGTTTGCCATCCTGCCCTTTTGAAATGTTCCAACGCCAATACTCAGCAACTGCAAATTCTGGTGAAGTCTTTTCCATGTAGAGCTTGGTGATACTGGAGCCATATCCAATCACATAATCCAACCTCCATCCATCAAACCCTATATCAGTTTTCAACCAATTCAACCAATCAGAGAGCTCGGTTTGTAGCCTTGGATTTGTGTGGTCCACATCAGCAGTGTAAGGAAAGTTGTCCCCTGTGTCTGGATTTCCAGTTCCAAAAGGATGGTCATTGTCATCTCTGCAGATCAATGAGGCATTGAAGTCGAGACGTCCGTCTTCTGTTCCACCTTCAAAGATGCTCCATATTCCATTCTCGTCTTGTTTGACAGCTGATCTGTGGTTTAACACAATGTCAGCGATGGCTTTGATTCCCTTCTCATGCATAGTAGCAATCAGGGACTTCAATTCGTCCTTATTTCCATAGCTTGATGAATCGAGATCGTATAGCCTTCCCGGGTCATATCCTGATCGTATAATGTCATATTAATTTCGCACAAAAGTTGGAATCTGTAGCATTTTCCGTTAACTAAGTAAATAGATTAGTAGAAGCAAGTACCCTCAGTTGCATTAGAGTGAGAAGGAGGAGGAAGCCAGACATGGGTAATTCCAGAGCTAGCGAGTTCGGGAATGGTGGTCTTGAGGGAGTTGTACCATCCTCCTTTTTTACTTGAATCCCAATTGAACCCCTACCATATTCATATGATATCATCAAGTTCTTGAATCAACACTTAGAACCATGTATGATCATGTACGCATATAAAATATAGGGGGGAGAGAGAGAGAGAGAGAGAGAGCATGGCTTAATTACCTGAAATAACACTGCTGGAGTTGCGAAGGAGGGCAAACGAGAAACGCAGAGGCAAAAGCAGAATGAAAGGAGAAAATTCATATTGCCTTTTGAAGTTGTATGTGCAATGGGTTGGGTTGGATGGCATCTTATATTCATATCTGGTTGAGTTGAATTTACCAAATGACACACAAGTTGGATGCTTCATGGTTCTGAAATGTAACTCAGTCGAAAATGACTGGCTGAGATTGAACCACAAGATACCATGGAGGAGAGAGCAGAGAAAAGTCAAGGGAGACAAATGAAGATGGACAAGTCCTAGAAAGACTACGGAACAAGATACACACTGAAGCAAAAAATTCAACGCGTCATGCTGTTGGTGTTGGGCTAACAAAACTCCTCTAAGTGCAATCAGTTTTCTAAATGTTAGGCAAAGTTTATGAAAGTGACGAGCAATTGAATTGGAGGCATTGCAGGCACCTTCTACAGTGCACCAGGTGCACCCATGCACCATTTGTCCTTTATGATGCTTCCAGATTTTAAAAAAAATTGGTTACCGGTTATACAAGTTATCAAGTTTCCACTTTTTGAAAATGCAATTGCATAAGGGTCATGCAATTATGCCCTTCCTGTTTGGCAATTGGCATATGATTGGATAGTGATTTACAATAGTTTGGATATGAGAGTACCATAACATTGTAAGAGGATCCTAAAACTTATAAGTTACAAGATTTGGGTAGCTGTTTACAAGTTTTTGAACTATGATTACAACATTAGGGTTCACCTAATCCATAGTATTGTAAACATCCGAGTTTACAAGTATAAGGACCCAATTTACCATCCGAATGTTCACATTTACCCTAATATTGTACTACATGTCTTTATCTTTATAAATTACGATATTACAAGATAATGATGCATTTTACAATCAAATGGAACATAACTGTCCAAAATCGAGTAAAATAAGACCTTAATATAGTAAAAGTTTGTGTTTACACGTATAATGACTCACTTTACTTTCCTAATGTCCCTAGTTACCTTAATATTGTACTAAACGTCCTTCTCTTTGTAAATTACGATATTACAAGATTAAGGATAGGTTTTACAATGTTCTGGAACATAACTATCCATAAAAGAGTAATACAAGACCTTAGTATTGTAAACATCCGAATTTACAAGTATAAGTACCCAATTTACCATCCGAATGTTCCCATTTACCCTAATAATGTACTACATGTCTTTATCTTTGTAAATTTCGATATTACAAGATTAAGGATGCATTTTACAATCAAATGGAACATAACTATCCAAAACCGAGTAAAACAAGACCTTAATATAGTAAACGTTTGTGTTTACACGTATAAGGACCCAATTTACTTTCTCAATGTCCCTAGTTACCTTAATATTGTAATACATGTCCATCTCTTTGTAAATTACAAAATTACCATAATAAGGATGGGTTTTACAATCTCCTGAAATATAACTATCCTAAATAGAGTAATACGAGACCTTAATATTGTAAACATTCATGTTTACAATACTAAGGACCCAATTTACCTTCCAAATGTTCCCCTTGACCCTAATGTTGTACTACATGTCTTTATATTTGTAAAGTACGATATTACAAGATTAATGATGCATTTTACAATCATATGGAACATACATGTCCAAAACGGAGTAAAACAAGACCTTAATACAGTAAACATTTGTGTTTACACGTATAAGGACCCAATTTACTTTCTCAATGTCCCTAGTTACCTTAATATTGTAATACATGTCCATCTCTTTGTAAATTACAAAATTACCATAATAAGGATGGGTTTTACAATCTCCTGAAATATAACTATCCTAAATAGAGTAATACGAGACCTTAATATTGTAAACATTCATGTTTACAATACTAAGGACCCAATTTACCTTCCAAATGTTCCCCTTGACCCTAATGTTGTACTACATGTCTTTATATTTGTAAAGTACGATATTACAAGATTAATGATGCATTTTACAATCATATGGAACATACATGTCCAAAACGGAGTAAAACAAGACCTTAATACAGTAAACATTTGTGTTTACACGTATAAGGACCCAATTTACTTTCTCAATGTCCCTAGTTACCTTAATATTGTAATACATGTCCATCTCTTTGTAAATTACAAAATTACCATAATAAGGATGGGTTTTACAATCTCCTGAAATATAACTATCCTAAATAGAGTAATACGAGACCTTAATATTGTAAACATTCATGTTTACAATACTAAGGACCCAATTTACCTTCCAAATGTTCCCCTTGACCCTAATGTTGTACTACATGTCTTTATATTTGTAAAGTACGATATTACAAGATTAATGATGCATTTTACAATCATATGGAACATACATGTCCAAAACGGAGTAAAACAAGACCTTAATACAGTAAACATTTGTGTTTACACGTATAAGGACCCAATTTACTTTCTCAATGTCCCTAGTTACCTTAATATTGTAATACATGTCCATCTCTTTGTAAATTACAAAATTACCATAATAAGGATGGGTTTTACAATCTCCTGAAATATAACTATCCTAAATAGAGTAATACGAGACCTTAATATTGTAAACATTCATGTTTACAATACTAAGGACCCAATTTACCTTCCAAATGTTCCCCTTGACCCTAATGTTGTACTACATGTCTTTATATTTGTAAAGTACGATATTACAAGATTAATGATGCATTTTACAATCATATGGAACATACATGTCCAAAACGGAGTAAAACAAGACCTTAATACAGTAAACATTTGTGTTTACACGTATAAGGACCCAATTTACTTTCTCAATGTCCCTAGTTACCTTAATATTGTAATACATGTCCATCTCTTTGTAAATTACAAAATTACCATAATAAGGATGGGTTTTACAATCTCCTGAAATATAACTATCCTAAATAGAGTAATACGAGACCTTAATATTGTAAACATTCATGTTTACAATACTAAGGACCCAATTTACCTTCCAAATGTTCCCCTTGACCCTAATGTTGTACTACATGTCTTTATATTTGTAAAGTACGATATTACAAGATTAATGATGCATTTTACAATCATATGGAACATACATGTCCAAAACGGAGTAAAACAAGACCTTAATACAGTAAACATTTGTGTTTACACGTATAAGGACCCAATTTACTTTCTCAATGTCCCTAGTTACCTTAATATTGTAATACATGTCCATCTCTTTGTAAATTACAAAATTACCATAATAAGGATGGGTTTTACAATCTCCTGAAATATAACTATCCTAAATAGAGTAATACGAGACCTTAATATTGTAAACATTCATGTTTACAATACTAAGGACCCAATTTACCTTCCAAATGTTCCCCTTGACCCTAATGTTGTACTACATGTCTTTATATTTGTAAAGTACGATATTACAAGATTAATGATGCATTTTACAATCATATGGAACATACATGTCCAAAACGGAGTAAAACAAGACCTTAATACAGTAAACATTTGTGTTTACACGTATAAGGACCCAATTTACTTTCTCAATGTCCCTAGTTACCTTAATATTGTAATACATGTCCATCTCTTTGTAAATTACAAAATTACCATAATAAGGATGGGTTTTACAATCTCCTGAAATATAACTATCCTAAATAGAGTAATACGAGACCTTAATATTGTAAACATTCATGTTTACAATACTAAGGACCCAATTTACCTTCCAAATGTTCCCCTTGACCCTAATGTTGTACTACATGTCTTTATATTTGTAAAGTACGATATTACAAGATTAATGATGCATTTTACAATCATATGGAACATACATGTCCAAAACGGAGTAAAACAAGACCTTAATACAGTAAACATTTGTGTTTACACGTATAAGGACCCAATTTACTTTCTCAATGTCCCTAGTTACCTTAATATTGTAATACATGTCCATCTCTTTGTAAATTACAAAATTACCATAATAAGGATGGGTTTTACAATCTCCTGAAATATAACTATCCTAAATAGAGTAATACGAGACCTTAATATTGTAAACATTCATGTTTACAATACTAAGGACCCAATTTACCTTCCAAATGTTCCCCTTGACCCTAATGTTGTACTACATGTCTTTATATTTGTAAAGTACGATATTACAAGATTAATGATGCATTTTACAATCATATGGAACATACATGTCCAAAACGGAGTAAAACAAGACCTTAATACAGTAAACATTTGTGTTTACACGTATAAGGACCCAATTTACTTTCTCAATGTCCCTAGTTACCTTAATATTGTAATACATGTCCATCTCTTTGTAAATTACAAAATTACCATAATAAGGATGGGTTTTACAATCTCCTGAAATATAACTATCCTAAATAGAGTAATACGAGACCTTAATATTGTAAACATTCATGTTTACAATACTAAGGACCCAATTTACCTTCCAAATGTTCCCCTTGACCCTAATGTTGTACTACATGTCTTTATATTTGTAAAGTACGATATTACAAGATTAATGATGCATTTTACAATCATATGGAACATACATGTCCAAAACGGAGTAAAACAAGACCTTAATACAGTAAACATTTGTGTTTACACGTATAAGGACCCAATTTACTTTCTCAATGTCCCTAGTTACCTTAATATTGTAATACATGTCCATCTCTTTGTAAATTACAAAATTACCATAATAAGGATGGGTTTTACAATCTCCTGAAATATAACTATCCTAAATAGAGTAATACGAGACCTTAATATTGTAAACATTCATGTTTACAATACTAAGGACCCAATTTACCTTCCAAATGTTCCCCTTGACCCTAATGTTGTACTACATGTCTTTATATTTGTAAAGTACGATATTACAAGATTAATGATGCATTTTACAATCATATGGAACATACATGTCCAAAACGGAGTAAAACAAGACCTTAATACAGTAAACATTTGTGTTTACACGTATAAGGACCCAATTTACTTTCTCAATGTCCCTAGTTACCTTAATATTGTAATACATGTCCATCTCTTTGTAAATTACAAAATTACCATAATAAGGATGGGTTTTACAATCTCCTGAAATATAACTATCCTAAATAGAGTAATACGAGACCTTAATATTGTAAACATTCATGTTTACAATACTAAGGACCCAATTTACCTTCCAAATGTTCCCCTTGACCCTAATGTTGTACTACATGTCTTTATATTTGTAAAGTACGATATTACAAGATTAATGATGCATTTTACAATCATATGGAACATACATGTCCAAAACGGAGTAAAACAAGACCTTAATACAGTAAACATTTGTGTTTACACGTATAAGGACCCAATTTACTTTCTCAATGTCCCTAGTTACCTTAATATTGTAATACATGTCCATCTCTTTGTAAATTACAAAATTACCATAATAAGGATGGGTTTTACAATCTCCTGAAATATAACTATCCTAAATAGAGTAATACGAGACCTTAATATTGTAAACATTCATGTTTACAATACTAAGGACCCAATTTACCTTCCAAATGTTCCCCTTGACCCTAATGTTGTACTACATGTCTTTATATTTGTAAAGTACGATATTACAAGATTAATGATGCATTTTACAATCATATGGAACATACATGTCCAAAACGGAGTAAAACAAGACCTTAATACAGTAAACATTTGTGTTTACACGTATAAGGACCCAATTTACTTTCTCAATGTCCCTAGTTACCTTAATATTGTAATACATGTCCATCTCTTTGTAAATTACAAAATTACCATAATAAGGATGGGTTTTACAATCTCCTGAAATATAACTATCCTAAATAGAGTAATACGAGACCTTAATATTGTAAACATTCATGTTTACAATACTAAGGACCCAATTTACCTTCCAAATGTTCCCCTTGACCCTAATGTTGTACTACATGTCTTTATATTTGTAAAGTACGATATTACAAGATTAATGATGCATTTTACAATCATATGGAACATACATGTCCAAAACGGAGTAAAACAAGACCTTAATACAGTAAACATTTGTGTTTACACGTATAAGGACCCAATTTACTTTCTCAATGTCCCTAGTTACCTTAATATTGTAATACATGTCCATCTCTTTGTAAATTACAAAATTACCATAATAAGGATGGGTTTTACAATCTCCTGAAATATAACTATCCTAAATAGAGTAATACGAGACCTTAATATTGTAAACATTCATGTTTACAATACTAAGGACCCAATTTACCTTCCAAATGTTCCCCTTGACCCTAATGTTGTACTACATGTCTTTATATTTGTAAAGTACGATATTACAAGATTAATGATGCATTTTACAATCATATGGAACATACATGTCCAAAACGGAGTAAAACAAGACCTTAATACAGTAAACATTTGTGTTTACACGTATAAGGACCCAATTTACTTTCTCAATGTCCCTAGTTACCTTAATATTGTAATACATTGGTTTTACCTACAGCAACCAATTTAACCGGTAACCAACAATCAACGCTTTGGATTACCCCACATGCCCCAGCTACTCATCCAATGGTCTATAATAAATGGCGCATCAGTGCGCCTTGCGCATTGTAGAATTTTCCAGGCATTGCATTTAGGACATTGGACAAGAACTAACCGTCGTCACTCCGCACATTAAGGCTCAGTTTGGGGTTGCGGTGATTTTAAAAGAAGCAGCTTATTTTTAAAATTCTGAATGAAAAGGTGTTTGGTAAATCAAGAAAAAAAGTGATTTTTTTTCAAATTGTGGGTCAATGGCAGGAGAGGATTCTTTAAATTTTTTAAAAGTAATTTTAAAAGTGCTTTTATTGTGCCAACCAAACACTCAACAAAATATCAAAAACGCTTTTATGTAGTGTAAAAGCACTTTTAAATGTGACATCCAAACGACAAACTGCTTCTTTGTAAAAGCGCTTATGTCATAAGCGCTACTGGCATAAGCGCTACTAGCATAAGCGCTTCGGGAAGAAGCATTCCCAAACGAGCCCTAAGAAAATTAAAATTAAAAAAGCAAGCTCATTTAGGGACTCAACAGGTTTTTGTAGTGTGCTGGTTATTTCTTTTTGGGTTTGTTGATAATCATTTGTACAGAAACCACAAAGGGAATAATCAGTTTTTGTTATTTCCAGTGATTTCTTTATGTGGTTCTTGTTTTAGATTAACCAGGTGGCCAACCAAAACCCTTGGGCAATTGGGTTGGGTGGTTGGTATTGTAAGGTAAGAAGATTTGGGTTGTCGTGGGACTTGGTTTCCGGCGTCTTTGGTTTTTTTGTTTTTTAAATATTATTCTAGAGGCCAAAAGTCCAGCTGTAAAAAAAAATCACTATAATTTTTTTTAAATGACACATGGCATATTTTGAATGGAAGTATTAGAAGCTGCTGTGGATGGAAGCATGCGGAGCTCTTTAAGGAATGTTTCAATATGCCCGTATTGTCCTCGTTTATTTTAAAAAATGACGTGATTTACCCTCTTCATTTTTCACGATCGGATCTTCATTCCCACCTCAGTCCTCCATAGCTCTCTCTTCCCAATCTCCATTAATCTCTCATTTTCCTCACAGATCTCTCATCTCTCCAAATTATTTTTTCGACATTTCGAATATGTTAGGGATTTTTTAAGTGGTAGTTCTTCTAATTGTACTGACATTGAGGCTTTTGAGATAAAACGCCATACCTAAATGGATCCACGAGCCTCGTCCCATATGATCAGCCAACTCCAACCTAGTATCCAACTCACCAGGATTTCAAATTTATAGTCGAGAATAAATAAATAAAAAGGGTGACTTTTGGCAGCCTAGAAAAATCCCAAGCCATGGCAATAAGCAACGCAAATGACCAATATACAGAGCACATGAAAATGGATAACATAACAGAAAGATCCTCAGAATCAGATATGATTGAAGAAAGAAAGCTTGTTATTGGCAGCTTTAAGCTTATTGCATGAAGTATGAAATGATGAAATGATCATACATTATATCAAAAGGGTACAAGCTTTAATTGATTTCTAGTTTCTCTTAATGTAAAGCTAAAATTCCAGTTCAAGTTCAAGTTCCCTAGTATTTCAGAAATTCATTTGAAGCAAACAAGGCTACGCCTAAAAATGCGAACTTTATCTCTGGCGGCCTCTGCCTCGGAGGCCTCACATCTTGGCAGGCTTGGGGAATATGTCAGGAGTAAATTTCGTGGCTGCACTCAGACTGCCCTTGATCTTCATGGCACCCCTCATGAAAGCAACTTGTGGGTTCATCTTCCCCAGCGCAACCTTCACAAAATCATCATCCTTGAAGGAAAAAGTTGCATCTGGCTTCCCTGCTTCATATGGCCCTGAAATTCAAGATATATAGTTTCAGTAATTAAGCTCAAGTTAAACTGAGCTAATCAAAATCAGAAACCCTAACCTTTCTTGACCTCCCCCTTCTTGAGATCAACGGTGAAAATCACCTCATCAAACCCAATTTTCTGCGGTTCAATTCAGAAATTGTGAGAAATAAGCGGTGAATTGGAGTTTTAGGCATTTTGGGGAGGGGAGGGGAGGGGAGGGAATATTGGTGGGGCCTACCTTGGGGGCGATGTTGATCTGATAGACGAGGCCGATCTTCTTCGTGATTTGTTTGCCGGCATCAGTGGTCAGGTGCTCTTTCATCAGCTCCAGCAAGCTCTCCGACTTCAGCTGATCGCTGCTCCCCATAGCTTCTCTATCTCTCTATCCGGTTACCTTGTGCTGTCGCAACTACGTCGTTTTTATCATTCAATTCCAGAGAGATATTAAATAATTTGGTCTGGTTTGGTTGGTTTGGTTTGAGAATTTAATTGTCATCAGATTCAGATCACGCGCGAACAAACCGCGCCTCACAGTCGCTAGCATGGCATTCGCATTGGCAATTTGGCAGAGATCAGATGACGGACAAGGCACGCATTCCCATAACATTGTTTGTTGTAGTTGCTCTTTCTGGTTCTGGGTAGGGTTTGGATTCACTCTCAGCCCATGAAAATTACAAAGAAGCCCATTAAGCCCATGTAAAATATGAGATAGCCCAAAACATGAGCTGATATGGTTAATGATGTCGTGTCTTCTTCTCATTCGTAGCATAATTCAGAATTCAGATATGGCAATTGGAGCCTCACGTCTCATCAACTGCCAGAGGTAGGCCTCTCAACTCAACTCAACTCATTCATCTCTTTGATTTCAGTTGAAATTCATTCTTTTCTTTTTCTTTTTTAATTCAAGATTGCAGAACCATATCCTTGAGATATATCAGAATTTTGGAGCTATTTGTTTCATTCTTTTTTCTCTTTTCATACCAGTTTTCCACCATTTCTATATGTAAATGTCACAGGTTGAATGTAATTTTCTGAAGAAAAGGCAATAGAAATTTAAGAATGTACTGAGGATCAATAGCTCATCCTGCAAATTAGGTTAAGTTTGTGTTTCGTTCCAATGCAAAGTCACACTATTCTAAATGGCAAGGCCAGAGCATCATTCAATTTTGGAACAAAACCAAACACAAAACTTGGTTCAATAAGTCCCTCTGAATTTCCCACCTCAATTCCTGGGAGAACACATGTTAGATCATGTCTTATGAGGGCCAAAATTCCACATTGCCACGCATTCGAAAGAAGCGTAAACCAAGCAGAAATGACTGATGAAGATGATGATCTGTGTCCAGTTGAATGCGTTAGAGAATTTAAGACTGACGAGGAATTGTTCAGAATTCTCGAAACGGCTAAAAAAACCGGTTCTTTAGTGGTTGTAGATTTTTATCGCACATCATGTGGAAGCTGCAAGTACATAGAGCAGGGGTTTTCAAAGTTGTGCAAGGGAGCTGGCAATGGAGAAGCCGGAGTGATCTTCTTAAAGCATAATGTGAGTATTGTGCTTTGAGTTTTTCATTTACCAACTCAAGACATAATCCTAAAAGCCCTACTACTAAATACTGCAGGTAATTGATGAGTACGATGAACAATCCGAGGTTGCAGAGCGACTTAGAATTAAGGTAACTTTTCTTTGATCAACTCTACAAGACTACAAGGGTTGTCTTTGTGTGCCGTTTCTAAATTTATTAGGATGGGATGAAATGATGCAGACGGTGCCTCTCTTCCATTTTTACAAAGATGGGATTCTCTTGGAGGCGTTCCCAACCAGAGACAAAGATAGGATTAATGCAGCCATTAGTAAATACACATCGCCAGAATCTGAAGAAGATGATGCTTGAGCTACACCAATCCCTCAAAATATATAAGATAAGTGCTTTGGACTCATTTGTGGATTGTAATATATTCGAGCTCCGGTATGTTGGATGAGATTCATTACTTTATCTATATATATAGCGTATATAACATTGGCGCCAAGTGTGAGGGAATGCTAGACGTTTGGTAATTTCTCCTCGGATCATAATAAAAGATCCCATTAAAGCTTGAGACAAGTTGTGAATTTCCCTTACAGCGAAAAGAATTGGGATTGGGAAGAAGTTGTTAATAATAGATTACCGAGAGAGGTGACATAGGGATTGTACCATTCAAAACTTTTATTTTCATGCTTTTCTCGGAGGTTCAAAGTTCCCAGGAAATATGATACTATAAAATTATAATGTTATTATATAAACAAGTGTGTGAGCAGAGCAGCCATATGCGGCCTTCATCACGGGAGCAAGACACAACACATACAGCAGTCATAAGAAAGAAAAAGAACACCGGACAAAATAACGAAACTTAAGAAGGCTCTATTCCAGTCCTCCTTGCCTTGGTCAGGTTCTTATATTATAGATTCGTGTTTGATACAACCGGGACTGGCCCAAATTAGTCCTTATCCTGGAATGCTTGCTAATCCGGTTTAACAAACGCAACCATGGAGTACACTTGTTGAATGACAAAAATTGATAACAATATTAGAGTGGGGAAAACAAAAAAAAAAAGAAAAAGAAAAAAAGGGTGCCTTAGCCCAAAACATAGAATATGGGAAAAAGTTAATTTTGGGGAGAGTATGACAGCTCAACTAGCAGGTAGATTTTTTCCAAAATTTGGCTGGGAGTCCATGGAGAGGCACTGGGAATGGGCTATATTGAATCTCATTTTGGGATCCCACTACTTCCCACCTGCAAAAACAACAACAAAAACTTAGTGGTTAGCGTCGTATCAACTTATTAACCGACAAAAAATAAGTGATTAGTGTCTTATCAACCGAGTAGGAGGGTACTGAAAGTCTGAAATTGAACATGAATTTCTATTATACCTGAACTTGGTAACCAAATGGTGCATCATAATCAGTAATTCTAGCTTGGCAAGTTCATTTCCTGGACAGGCATGCACTCCACTGCCAAATGGCATAAATGTATTGGGCTTTGGTGCAACCTGGGGAATATTCAAACGAAATATAACTCGAAATTAAATTTGATATAATTTCAATTAAAAGGTGTAGAATGAGAGGGAGAAGATAATGGAAATAGAAACAGTAGTCACCGTCCATACCTCCAATCTAGAAGGATCGAATTTGTGAGGGTCGGCAAAAAATTCAGGATTGTGATGAATGTTCCTGAACAAAGGCATCACCTTCCAACCTTTTGGAATCAAGTACCCTGTCACACATACCAACGTCAATCGTATACCAACAATACATACACATAATTTTCTAGCTGGACAAATTCATACACATATGTTTTCTTAAAACTAGGGTTTATGGTGATCATTAGTATTGGGGTTGTCATTAATCAAGATAAACTTAGTTTCATAAAGCTAGATAGATAATCTTGTTATTTAGCTAGATAGTATTATGTTTGCATTAGTCAGTGTGACGACTTTTTTAGAGTATCAATAATTTTTTTATTTATATATATTTTTAATTGAGACATTTCTCTTTAGATATAAAAGCGTTTTCACCTAAATGAGCAATGGTAACCCATGTTTACATCGTAGTGACACAAAGTCTATCGTATATATGTGTCATTCATAAAGTAGGGAAAACGATGATGATTGCATGATATTTTGTGTAGAAATTTGTTTATAAAAAAATATTATGTAGTCCTATAAGTACCTTTATATTCCACATCAACCACTGCCTCTCTAAAGGCAAAAGATATAATGCTCGCCATTCTCAAACTCTCCAACACAACCTGAGAAAGAAGATACGCAATTCCCTATAGTTAGCAACGAAGTTACCATGAATTGCTGGCAAAATATACATTGTCCCGTGAGACAGTGCATGTATATTCCATACCTTGGAACTTATTGGCATGTTTCTAGTCTGTGCCCAGCTCAATGGTTGGTTGCCTTCTTCATTTGATTCACGAATTGCATTATGCTCGGCCTGCAAATTAGGCAAGTTGATAAATATACATGTTGCAATTTCTTTTGAAAGATAAGGACAAGATATGAAGTGAAAGTGAGTTGTTTTAGAGCTAAGAGTAAAGCATGATGGTATGGCTATAGCTGTATATATATATATAAGGATTTATGACCATTAGTGGAGCGTGGTCCTACTACATTTATCAATGGTGATGAATCATTCATACGTGAGCGATTGATTTTAGCACTGTAATATATACCTTTACCGCCTCTAGAAGTTTGGGCTCATCGTGGAGGTACTTGAGAATCCAGGTCATAACGCTAGCTGTGGTGTCTTGAGCAGCAAAAAGCACACCCAAAATATTGTCTGCAATTTGGTCATCAGTTAAGACTTCACCTTTTTTATCTTTAGAGTTTAACAAGCAACCCAATAGATCTTTTTCAAGTAGCCTCTTCTCCTTCCTCTCACTGATAATGTCGCCAAGAATCTCTCTTAGCCTCTTCCTTGCCTATTATATGAACAATTAATTACTGTATCAAACACATTCAATAAATAAGATTTAATAAATCTTTATAATAAAAACAAAAAAATCCCTACCAATAAAGCCTTTTTGTATGATGTTCCCGGAATGTTTGTGGGAAAGGAATTGTAGCCTTTCTCCAGGATGGTGTAGTTGTTGTTGAGTTCTTGTTTGTAATGTGCCTCCAAATGGCCAAAAGTTGCAAGTATACCCACTTGGAAAGAATACTAGAGTCACTCAAGAAAATATAAAATAAGTCGATCAACATAAAAAGCATATAGAGGCAAAGATAAGAAACTTTATCATACAAATAAATAAAGAAATATGAACAAAACTTTTTAGATACCCAACCCATTTGTTTAAATACGGCAAAGTCAAAGAGCTTTAAAACAAGGTATAGAAATTGATGATCCAAATATAATTTTGTGTTTGCATTAATAATAAGGAATAAGCTCACCTTCTTCATTTCATGGAAGGTGTTGATGACTTGGCCAGAGACCCAGGAGTCTGAGCCAGACACAGCTATGGCCTCAATATGAGGCACCAAATTTCGAATAATGTCAAGGGAGAGAGATCCTTGGACTAATTTCCTCAGCCTAATATGGTAATCTCCTTGGTGAAAAAACAGTGCTGAAGGACCAATCAAACGTTCTTTGCTTTTGGGGTATGTGGGTTTGAACAAGTGAGCCTCAGTCACCAATACAAACTTGGCGGCCTCGGGGCTTGCCAGCATGACACATGGACACCCGAGGATATGCGTCTTGAAAATTTCCCCGTACCTGAGAGTAAATAAAATATAAATGTTCAGAGTTCGATTCCTTTCCAATGTAATCATAAAAAAAATAAAAGACATGCGGACATGAGAGAAAGAGAGACCTAACCTTTTTTGTTTGGTAGAAAAGAAAGTGTTTGGGTCCTGAGAATAGAGCTGAAGAGTTTCTCCTATATAAGGCCAACCCAATGAACCTGGAGGGAGCTTAGCCCTTTTCTCGGGCTCCTCTCTCTTGTCCCTTTTCATGAAAATTAAAAATGAGAGAAGGGTTAGGAGGAATATGAAAACGTAAGTGAAAATTGCATCCATCTCTCTCTCTCTCTCTCTCTCTCTCTCTCTCTCTCTCGATCTCTTCCTCTTTCTTAGTGAGAATGTTAAATGGTCAGTGGCTTTTTGTAGTAAAACCAGAGAGGACTAGTATGCTTTGCTAATTTTGAGCCACTGGGGGAAGAGAGGGAAAGGGGCACTTTATATAAGCAGCATTGGAGAGAGAGACAACCACACAGGACAAAATTAAGGACAAGTGTCAATTAGAGATTCGGTGTGCCAGGTGCATAGGGTAACAAGGTACATAAATTTCTAACAACAGTAACACGACATTCACTCTTTCCACACATACTGTTTTTTTTTTCACCTTGCATGGTTTGTTTTTCTGTTCAAACCTTTACCTTTCTCGATTAATTTTCTCTATCTACTTTGATTTCTTGGATATGCTCAAGCAAATTAACGAGCTTGAAATGAATATGATCTATAAAAAAATAGCCAAAACGGAAAAGAAAGACAGAGTTAGAACAACCCAAGTTACTCCAAACTTGAATCTATTTCTAACTCGACAATGAATCTGGTAGTGAACTCAATTGAATACAACACATATGGCATTGTCCAAGACATTTATAAAATTGAGGAAAAATAACAATACAAACTAAAGACTTTTTTATTTATTTTATACAAACAATTTTCTAATTTAATCTAATCTAAACTACTGGGAGAGGGCTTCAAACTCTGGTGCACATTGGGAAACACATCCGCTATAGCCGACTTGACTAAGTCCATGTCTGCGAACTAAAGACTATTTAGATAAAAGGATTTTAAGAGAATAGCTTTACATTTTAACCATGCATTCAATAGGAAAAACTTAACAATAGTAAATACAATGAATTTGAAATAACCATATAGATTCATAGTAAATATTCAATGTAATACTATGAATCTGAACAAAACTTCTTTTTTATGTCAATGGAAACTAAACTATTCTATATTTTCTCCTAAACTAGGTTCAATGAATCATTAAGATCCTTGTATTTCTTCCTTTTACTTCCCACACAAATACAAATTTTGATTCCTTGTCAAGAGGTAAAATTACGAATTTGGTAAAGATACTTGACTAAACATAAACATAAAAAACGAGTGTCATGCTTAACTTGGCCTTATTAATCAAAACTTTCTTGATATTACTAGAAATGGAGGCAAATCAAAATCGAAGACAAAACTAAGTTCATTGTAATTATAAAGCTATTTAAAGTTGACTCTCCTTGATAGAATTCATGGCTCCACCACTGCCACTAGTGTAGTGGTTTTGAGTATTTACTGCATCAGGCAATGTCCTAGATTCAAGTCCTAACATATGTGTAGTGTGTGTGAGTTTAGTATATTATTGCTCCACTCAATATGAAAGGTGCTATAAAAAAAACAGCGCCCTGGCCACATTACCTGATTTATTAATAGTGCCTAGAAGATTTGTTTCTTGACTTTGTGATAATTGGCAGTTTGGCATTGATCACAAAAGACAGAGAGAGCGGTCACATTAACTACAATTAAGAGAGTTTGTTTTAAAAAAAAATATAAACAATAATCTAAATTACTCTAAATTAATTTAACATATGCTTATAACTAACATATGCTTTTCTCAAGAGGTTTACAAAGACATCAAAAACCAAAAGAGAATAAACCAATATTAGTTTGGATAAAATGTTTTGTCCATTTAAAATTAATGAGTGTATTTTGGTGAGACCGTCAAAGTATGAATAGAAAGTAGTCAGAGGGTGGGCGAGGGAATAATCTTTGGTGGGGACAGAAGAGATGAATAGCCATAGTTGCATCCAGCTCATCTTTTCTATAAAATTCTAATCATCTCTAACCTTCCAGATCAGACCGCTCTCGTGGTCCTCCTGGATTCTCCTGGGGCTCACATCTTGCGTGAGATTATTAAGGCACCTTTCTTTCTATGTCAAAGATTAAAAAAAACTGAAAGAAAGACGGTGGAAAAAATAAAGAGTTTTGGATGCAAGGAAACAATATTTTGGTCGATATGAAACTCGAGCAAGTACACTTGTTATTGAAATTTTAGAATTTGTGGGCTTGAATTCAAGAGTGCAGAATAACACAAATAGTTTAGTCTAGTGAAAAAGAATATTAACTTACAAATTAGTTGTCTCATATTTGAACGCTTGTGATTCTTTCATAGTATACGTGTGAGATATTCTCTCCTCGTTATAGTTTAGACAATTGGTTGTATTCGAGAAAAAGAAAAGAGTGAGTTGGATGGGGAAAGAAATAAAAAGAAGAAAATTAATTTGAGGTGCGCATGTTGGAAGTCTGAACGGATTAAGGTGGTTTTCACAGCGTGAATCTCATTGACATAATAATTATGCTGCAATGTACAATTAGCAAGTACCAGCCAAAATGGGGCTGTAGACCTATAAAAGCTTGGCACGATAAAGAAGAGGACATGGGTAGGCCATAGGTGGAGTACATATATTCAATCATTTTAAAAGGACACTCGAAAGATTCTCTCTCTCGAAATGGGAACTCAGATAGAGATAGAGATAGTATACGACCTTCATTTCCTTTCAGTAGTGTATATGACTAGTGTCAAACTTTGTTCATACAATGGGCGCATTATTCTCACCTTATTTCTTTTAGTATCAATTCTATTTCAAGTTTTATAAAGACATAAAATTAGATTGTCATTCTTAAATTAAATGCTTTATTTTTTTTTTATTAAATGCTTTATTTTTTTTTTTTTTATAGTTAAATTTCAGAGAGACGGGCCATTAGCCCACTACTAGCAACACCGGTATTGTCCCCAACTTAACCACTTACAAAGTCCAATAAGTGTGAGGTTTTATCACATAAGGCATCGGTGATATTAGTAGTTGAACCATTCATTATATGTTGTATTCTATTTAGTTAAGTTTCCAATGTGGGACTTATATTATTCAACACATTTGTTAATTATTAGTACATAATATATCCAAGCATGTATATTTTTTTAGGTTCATTGTATGCACCTATGTCTATAATATAGATCTAAATCTAAATCTAATTTGACACTTCATCAGTTTAGTAAAGGAAAAGCATGTTATTGAGGGATCAAAATTCAAATGTTCCTTTGGAAAATGAATAAGATGACTTATTTATTAATGTTATTTGCGCTCTAAAATAAGTTTATCGATACACTTCTTCAAGCAAGCACACGTGACGAGTGCATTAGACTTCGTTGAAAAATGATAAATCCAATTGTTAGCAACCAATATCAACCTTATAAAAGAAGAACTCTCACATAACGAATTAGAGGTAGGCATCAATTCGGTAGTATTGACTAAATCAGTCGATTTGAATTGTAATGGTCAATTTGATTTGGTTTTGACAAAGAAAAAATTAAATGGTTTCAAAATCAAACTGAACTGTAAATAGTTTGATTTGGTTTAGTTTTGAACTTTTGCAATCAACTTAAACCGAATCAGACCATCTATTTATATATTTATTTTATTTAAAACATGCAATCCTCTCATTGGATCAAAACTAGATATGGAGGTTGAATTCGAAGTTTTATGTTATATTGAAGGGTAATGTTATGCTTACCACATAAATCTACCACATTTTAATACCATCTTACAATGGCAGCTGATGTGGACAACCACCTCATTAAAATTATATTAGTTTTTTTTTTAAGGAGATAATATTTTCTATATTTTTCTTTAGTTAAAAATTAAAAAAAAAACTAAACTAATCTGACGGAGCGGTGGCAAAAGTCCGTGGTAAGCACCTGTGATGGGGAGGACTGGGGGAGGAAGGGTAAGCTAAACAGAAAAAGAATCTTAACCGTGAAGGAAGGAGTAGAGCGGTGGAATGGAGTCAAAAGTCTGGCGGAACAACGTCAGAAGTCTGGCGGAGCGGTGACAGAAGTCTGGCGAAGCACCTGCGATGGGGAGGAGTGGTGGCAGGAGTCCGGCGAAGCACTGCGATGGGGAGGAGAGGAAGGAGGGAGAGAGAGAATTAGGGGAGGCAAAGAGACGTGTGAAAAGTTGTCGTAGGGTTTAGTTTAGTTTTTTTTTTAAAACAACGTCAGAAGTCTGGCGGAGCGGTGACAGAAGTCCGGCGAAGCACCTGCGATGGGGAGGAGTGGTGGCAGGAGTCCGGCGAAGCACTGCGATGGGGAGGAGAGGAAGGAGGGAGAGAGAGAATTAGGGGAGGCAAAGAGACGTGTGAAAAGTTGTCGTAGGGTTTAGTTTAGTTTTTTTATATAATTTTTTAATTTTTAACTAAAGAAAAATATAGAAAATATTATCTCCTTAAAAATAAAACTAATATAATTTTAATGAGGTGGTTGTCCACATCAGCTGCCATGTAAGATGGTATTAAAATATGGTAGATTTATGTGGTAAGCATAGCATTACCCTATATTGAATTTAGGATGGTTTGATACGGTAGAAAATAATAAAAATATGTAGTAAGTTATGACTTTTATTTTTACTTTGTAATTAGCCTAATAATGTTTAAAAATTGCAAAAGAAAAAAGGAATTGGGGTTAAGTCCCAACCGTCTGAAATTGGTTTAGTTCAGTTTCCTCCATGGATTTTGTCAAAACCAAACCAAATCAAACGTGTTATTGTAATTAGGATGTGGATAATGACATAACATTAACTAAGGGCTTGTTTGGGAGTGATTTTGGATTGGTCAATAATCTTTTATGGAGAATCACTTCTCCATATAATCATTTAAGTAGTTTTAAGTGCTTTTATGGAGAATCATATGAGAGGTGTTTCTCCCCATAACCGCTTAAAATCACTTCAAGTGATTATGTGCTTCTCCCCATAAGTAATTATGGCAGAATGACTCCCAAATCAGCCTTAAATAATCAGAAAAACTTGTATGAAATGGGGAATCATAGTCTGCTATGTGGAAAAGTTATCATGCGTGACATACCATGATTAGCCGGGGATAGCAAAATAGTGTTATCCCGTTTTATGTAAGTGTTTTTCCTAAATAACCCATGATATGATGAGTATCTTAATCCAGAATGTGTTTCCCACGTTTTTGGGTTGAAACCCTGACCACGTGCACGTGTAAGTAGGGCTGCTGTAGCTTGATTATGTATTTATCTGAACACAAGTTCGATCATACGTACTGTTGCCTCTCCGACAGGACTCGAATATATGCACCTCAATGCACGGAAACATTATGTCGAAATCAAAACGACGTCGACTGAGTGTTGGTCTCTGTCACTTTCAAGTCTTCACATGCTCAACAATTGAATTTGAAATACCAGCCAGCAACCTAGGCTTGCTCCAAAGTCTTTTGCCTGGTCTTTTTAGGGAAATGTTTGGCAAAAACCTTCAACGTGGCTATAATGCATGGGAGAAACGTCATGTGTACTGAGGGTAAAGCATGTACACGTGTCAGATCCACCATAACCCGGCCTTTTTCAGAGGTTGGTAGGTGTTTGATGCTGAATGGTGGTTCGTGGGAGAAGATCTTGGTGGAGATACTAGTAGGGTTCTCAAAATAATATGGGGCAGGTGTCTGCTTCTGCTGGCATGAACAAAATCCACCATGCAATATTGCAGCAAAATCTTCAAAGGCATTGCTTAGAGGCACGATGAATGCGAACCATCCACCCAGGATTGCATTTTAGGCAGTGGGAAGCAATGCTACTTATGTGATGCGTTGAAGAAATGGGAAAGAAAACAAGTTTTGAGCATTAATTATGAACTAAATTAAGCTGTTTCTGCTTTTCCTTTTGTGGTGTACTTCTCATGCCACTTATTGCATATATTCTAAGCACAAGTTTGGTGATGAAAATAGTGGTGCCAATCTAATCAAAACTTGATTTGCTAGGGTGCTTTAATCAGGTAATATTGAACACTGTAGCTAGAGAGTACACCTTACTTGGCCTTAACTTGAAAGGGTATGTATATATAATGCGTTTTCGATTCATGTAGTGCGTTAGATATGGCTGAGATTTCAAAAAATCCAAAATGTTATTTCGTACTTATAGCTATCTTTTGGATAAGATTATCTTGTTAGACATATATCATGTTATCAAATCATGAATATGAATCGTATAAATAAACACTTTCTAACAAGAATCAAGGTATATATAAGACTCAAATCTGACGACAATAATCTGACAAGATAACATTAATCAATGAAAAAGGTAAATGTGTGGAGATGGATACCACACCCATTACCATGCACATGTGTGGCTAGGAAACGACTTTTTGAAGAGTTATCTTCATGGCTCCTAAGACTGACTTGTGTGTGGGGAACAAAGATTGTGTTTTTAACAATCACCCACTACCCAAGCTTATTCACCATGTACTAGATGGTGGCGCTAGAAGGATGTTCATGCACACACTATATACTTACTAGCTAACTATATATGAGTACGCTTTTTCGTCAAATATATATATATATACGAGTATGATTTTTACTCAAATTACTCAGCCATAAAAAGGACTTTGAATTTTCGTGCATAAATATATAGTATCGAGCGTGATCTGAGAGCAGCATAATTACGACATTGTTATCTATTGTAGGAGATCTAGTCGAATCCAGGTAAGGCTGAAGAAAGATATACTTGGACTGAAATTCATAGGAGGCATTATGGTGTGTGCCTTGAGCAAAAGTTGGGGCTATAGATATCAGATATGGACTATAGATTTGCTCTATGCATTGCATGCAAAACGATGAAGATGTTGAGATCTTCTTCATCTAACATCATCATAAATATATTTTCCCTGTCACTCGGTCGCTTCTTGGGTTGCATTGCATCTATTTATGTATCTGCTGCATCCATGGATACCTGCAGCAGACACAGAGAGAGAGAGAGAGAATAGCCGCCCCAAAAATTCACACCTCTAGCTAGAGCTAGCCTATATAGCTAGGCATGCATGCACCCTATTGTATATATGAATATTATACCATGTACCTGAACTGTGGGTGATTATTATTTAATTGAACTCGAATATAATAATGTTGCAGCCCACAAGGAACATCCAGACCTTTTCTTGACCTTTTTTCCAAAAGAATCATGGAATGCGTGGACTATACTATACAATACAATGGAATTATGTCGTATTTTCATGAACGAAATTCAGTTGAAAACCACTTGTACAAGAAGAAAAGTATTTTGTGTACCTGAAAGAAAAAAAAGAAAAAAGAAAAAAAAGAAGAAGAAGATATATTGTGTTAACGAGTAACTAAATCTGCAGCTTTTGCATCTTTTTTTCGTTTGACTTTAGCTCTATCGTTCCCATTATGCTTATCCAACACAAGTCGGCAACCTTATCTTCTTCAATCTGTTTGAAAATCACAATGCAACAAGCAGTCATCACTGTGTGGATTAATAGCAACAAACAAAGTTTCTGATTCATATCGTACCATCTGCAGCAACTTATGCGTTACTTGCTATGTTTATGCGTTACAAAATGACCGATGATGTTTTAGAATAAATAAAGTTACCCAAATCATAGATAAATCTTCTCCATTTGTGAAACACCTTTTTGGCAAGAATTGAAAACTGCATCATTGTACAATTATTGACAGTGAAGAAAAAGAAAGGAAAAAAAAAAAGATAGAAAAGAAAGTTGGATCATTGGATGCTTTAATTTTGCTAACACACGGGAGATGCTATCTGTTGAGCAACCATCAATCAATCGGCGGTCGAGAAGATAAAAGATATTCTATGTAGCCAGCTGTGTTCATGTTTCCAGGTACTCCATTTCTTTTTTTTCTTTTTTCTTTTTTTCTTTTTGGTCATGTAAATGAATTTGTGGTTCAGAGCACAAATTCATAGCTCCTCAACCAATTATAAGACGATCCTAGTGGGACCCAAATCAAAGTCTCAATGTGCCACGTCACAATTCCAGCTGGCGAATCTCCAGAAGTGCTTGAATTATTGGTTAATTTTTGAGGTATTTAGGAATCTACAGTCTCTATGGGCTTTGGTTAGACTGTGACAACTCTTTACTCCCTCCACTATTATTCTTGTTCTTGGTAAAATTGATGGATCAAATCAAATACTTGAATTTGGCACAGTCAAAGTGGGCTCAACAACATCACCAAATTTCTTCCATGATCTTTTTGATCCCTGTGGGTCATCACAATATCAAAGTGTGCTACAACCAGACAGGCCAATGTCGGTTCGAATATCCAGATTTTTCAGACCCCAAGTGCCTCATAATTCCTAATCATTAGGTTTATTTGGTTTTCCTTCAAATTAATTTTCAAGCATATTCTTGAAAGTTTTGCTAACAATAATTCACCATAGAAAAGAACCCCTTTTTAACCTTTCATTTTCTCCTTTGCGGCCGCTCTCTACTTTTCGTTGTTATCTCAATTTCGTCTTAATGTGTTTGGTCTGTTATGTCTATCTCTCTTCTCATGTCACCTAATAGAAGAGGAGAGAGATAAAGAGAGTGTTTTGTTGCCCCCTCTCTATCTCTCTTCTCATGTCACCTATTAGAAGAGGAGAGAGATAAAAAGAGGGACGGCAATGAAACGCGGACATGGTAAGTATTTCTCGTCATCCATGAGATCACCACCATTGTCTGCTTCATTGGATTCTTTTTTTTATTTTTTATCCGTGTTGCTTTTTCCACCACACAACGAGTTCCATGCACATTTCTGTGATATTGCTAAGCAAGCATGAAATAAAATGAAGAAGGTTTCTGTCGACTTTACAGATCCATTACAAAAATACACCAATGCCTGGCAAGAATCACAGGTATGTAATGTAATAGCTGCTGATCCATATATGGGTGGAGGCAAACAAAAATGGACAAAAGACAATAGCTTTTTCCAATCTTATAGAACAAATGCATAAATGGTTAGATCATTGTTCATCACACAAGAAAAGCTAGCTTATTAGATAGTTTTACCTCTGCAACATAATTTGACTATTTAGAAATGGTGCTAAAATGTTAAACTTCATCCCATTGAGTACATACATGTATGGAAAATTGGGATATACGAGAAGAAATCCTGTGTGCCATGTGGCTTCAGCAGTGACACATTATCAATGGGACTCTGGGCAGCATATGGAACAAAAACTACCCAGGGGGGCTTGAGGGACTGTTAATTTGAATTCAGTTGTATTGCCGACTGCACTCCACAGAAGCTCATTCAACACCTTGTTTTAATGGGTAAAAATGATCGACTATCATGCCCTTTGTCCATATGTATGTTCATGAATTGGAACTCCTGGTCCGTATATCAAACGGCATCGCTCATTAAATGAACCAACAAGCTTAGAGACCACCTCCTTAAAGAACACAGATGCCACCTGAGACAAAAATCATTGCAACATCAAAATGCTTGATCAGCAGTTCATCATGATTTTAAATTCCAATCCCCAAATTTCAGACCATGCAGGCTTCAGATAATTAATATGTGGTCCATCTTATGGCTGAAAAGTGATTGAATAATTGCCACAGAACACAGTTAAAGATTGAAAAAAGGACCTCACCTGTCGGTAAAGTGGCGATCGGAACTTGAAATCCACCAAGAAATAAAGGTTGCAAGATCCAGGAACGGGTCCCGGATTGAATTCCCAGATGTTTATCAAATGATCGAAAAGGGAACTATTTGACACAGTGGTCTAGAATTAAACAAGAAAAAAAGATTGTCATAAATAGGAACCAGAAAACAAAACCAAAAACAATAATAACAACGTAAAGAAACAAATTCATAGTAATAAATCAGTAAGAACCATTTTCGAAAAAATGTATAGTTAGAAAAATAACATCAATGAATGATACAAGATACTAGTGAAAATCAAAATTAGGCCACCCAATGACTCACAAAAGAGACAGTACCGAAGTTTTTCTTTAAAACCACCACCACCAGCAACCTATTATTGTTCTTATTTATCAAGGTTTAACCGAAAGTAAAAAGTAACTTTTAGGAAGACTTCCATCAAATTTTTCTATCCCAAAAAGCATACAAACGCTGGTACATGCTATGTCACTCCTAAGCACAATATCCATTTACATGCCATGTTAGTGCTCAACTTAAAAACTTCAAGTGTGCACCTTCAGTAGGTACATGGTCTTCATTCTCTAAAACCCAACACTGCCAAATGCACAATGTCTCCAAGCCCCTAAGTGTTTTAGCAACATAACATAAATTGATTCCAATTTGCTAATGTGTTAAAACCCAACCCAAACTCCTTAAACTAATCCAAAGAAAATCCTCCCACTCCCCATTAAAACCTAATGTCTACCATGCATGGGCAACGCCAAACACTTGGTGTCACATACGGTCACAATTTGTAAGATCACTTGTGAGACATTGCAATACAATATATTATCTGTCAGCAAGTAGAAAAGTGAGCAAACCAATGCTGAAGAAAACTTATAGAAAGAATCATACGAAGCTTGAAGGAAAATGATTGCCTTTATACGCTTTGCTCTCTCTAATTCGACATGGGAAACGTAACTTTCGACCAGAAATTTAAAACCAATCTCCAGCTCAGCATCAAATGATCCATCCGGAAAGGTTTTGATTATGTCGGACCGCTGACACCAGGGTACAAAACCATGATACAAGTCTACAGCAGCAACCACATCGAACAATTGCTCTGGAGAATACCTAGAATCCAATAGTGCATCAGGCCATGACACTCCCATATAGTAATCAGAACGGGAAAAAGAGCAAAATAGTGCAAAAATGAAACACGGCATTCAAGACCCAATTTTTCTTTCCTGCTGAGCAATTAGCTTATGAAGTAAGCCAATGTAAAAAATTGTAATATTCCAAAGCATATCAGGAACTCCATTGCCATTGGATTGCAACAACGAATTCTAAATACAAGCAAACGCATATAAAGTAGCTGAAATTGGGAATGATCAGAACGCAAGAAAAGAGTGAAATTGAAGCTAAATTACCCCAAGACGCGCTTCTCCTCATAAACTTTGGATAAAACACCGCCTTCTTCGCCGTCGCCGCAGCCGAGAAATTGCCTCCGTGACCTATAATTATAATCCAGTCGAGAATCGCCGGTCCACTTGTGGATCGACGATGGGGTTTCTATGCCCGCAATGCTACTAAAGCATCGAACCGGGTCGTATTTCCGGCCGGACCGGATCGGATGACTCGGGCCGATTCTACGGGACAGTAAGGACCCCACCGCCTTCGAGGTCCTGCTCGACCAGAATGGCGGCATTGTGAACTTTAACGATTGGGAAACCCTAATTGAAAGCCCCAAATTTTTGGAAAGCTTGAGACTTAGGAAGCTGAGGAATTTTTTGAAAATCGAAATCCAAGGGGCTAGGGATTTACGTGAGAAAAGGAAGAAGGCGAATTTACTTACCGCGAAAGTCTCAGACGGCAAGGGATTAGACTCGGGGACTGGACCAAAATCGAATGATACGCATGCGTTTTCGGCTTTTCGTCAGGGTTCGTTTTTTATTTTTGGGTTAATTGATCTCGTGAATTTATTTTACGTTTCATAGAGCATCTCCTAAGAAATATGCAAATGAAATCTGGGTGGTATATTTACCTTATGAAAAAGTTGATTATTTCAAGCAACTAGCCAATACAATTCTATAAATTATTATTATATTTTATAGAAAGTAAGTGAGAGAGTGGAGATGATATTTTATCATAAAAAATAAGTGGGGCTCAATATACCTATTTATTTTGAAGTAGGCAATATTGCCTTGTTTGGGAGACTAGATATATTTTGCCTACTCATTTACCTATTCCTTTGGAGCATGAAAATGCTTATGTGGCAAAGCAAATAAGGTTTGCCTACTCTTTTGCCTCATTCCTTGAAAATTACAAAAACTTTTGTGTAATATAGATATCACTGTTTTGTTATTCCGGACCAATAATGCAATGACATGTGAAAAAGTTATCCCGCATGTCATTGTGCTATTAACCGGACATAGCAAAAAGTGATATCCCAGTTGCATGAAAGCCTCTCTTAAAAAAGCTCGACATCAAAATATTGAAATATCCATCCATGACCCCATATATCAAAGCAGTTGCCGTGATCAATTGGGAGGGTTTTGGATTTGGTTGAGTGTTTGACTGGAGGTAAACGTGCGTGTATTGGTGGTGTATACACTCCTCTTTCTCAAAGTATTAGCACACATGATTAGGCGATAATGTAACCACATGTCACATGTAAGTTTGGAACCTAATGAAAGTAACTTATCATGAAAGAGATGGTTATGGTTGATACATTTTTATTATTTTAAGGTTTACTCATATCATTGCTGCTTCTGATGCATTATCGAAACTCTTTTTTACATTCGACATCTCACATACCTCGTGATTCAAAATTTTGCTTGTCCTTAATTTGTAATCTTTTGTCACTCTAGACTAGAATTACACAAACCATCATTCATATTCCATTCTCCGTACACGTTCTTACCACATTTGAACTTATGTCTCACTTCCCACGTGTTGTCCGTCATAATTGTATCAGTTAAACTGTTAAAACCTCGGATCAATCTTGCATGTCACCCCAACATAAATTACATGAACAATAATTTCTTGAACAGATGAATTCTGTTCTCCCCAACACAATGTATATTGTGTTTGTGACCCATTTGCAAAATCAATACAACTGTACACATTCATCATGGCTTAGTACAAAATTCATTGCAGTGCAGAAAGTCCCGATCTGCAGTAGAATCTGCATGTCTAAACTGTGGGTTTCTGCCTCGCCAAAGAAAAGAAAAAAAACGAGACACTACATTCCCACCAGTACAGCAGTGCTAGAGCTTAGCAATGGTACTAACAATAATGACTAAAATGAGAGAACAAAATCTGTACAGGCATAATAACAGCACATTCTGCCGCCCCGTTCCTACTCTTGTCGCACTGATGCCACTCGTACTAATGTTCAAAAACATATGAATAAATGCCTTGATTAATCTCTCTCTATCTCTATCCCTCTCTGACATACATGTGCAAGTATGCATCTACACAACAACACTTTAAAACTTGGTCTCTAGTGTCAATATGCAGTCTCCATCCATTATTCATAGGTTAGAACGTAATCATACAATGCATCCATTCTCTTACAGGGTCTCCTTTAATCTAGCTCTAGAAATATTATTCTTAGTTACATCTTCAGGTATCAGCAGGCTTGCGCAGTGGAACAACCTAAAAGTGCAGTTAAGAGAGAACAAAATTAAGACTCCATTGCCACATGATGGAGAACAACCTAAACTTGGTCTTAGGCATAATGCATTGTACATTACCTGATCGTTATTTGCAACATTGAGTATAAGAGCTTTCATCCTCTTAGCATCACATGAACCAAGAGTTTTTTCTTCTTTGATATCTTCATCAACAAAGTTCTGGTCTGACACTTCTGCAAGCATAAAGTAGGATTTATGAATTTTTGGCAGCTAGAAGATATATATTTAGAAGTCTTATTTCAGACAATTTTAGCGGCAAGTACAAATTATGATCTATTTGGCCTCAACAGAATAGAATATATTCTTGTTTTGCAACACTGAAAATGAATCTCATGTACAAAAATGCATAAAAGAAATCCAACCACATAACAGGCTTCCATTATTCTCTACCATTGATTGACATAACAGTAAAAACTATGTCTGTGCCATCCACATCCAACTACTTCATCTGTCATTTTGTTTATAAGGTTACATCTTATCCTTTCAAATTCCAAATTTCCATAAATTACTCTAGATGACAGAATGGAGTTGAAGGGTAGGATAAAAGAAACAATACTGGATGAATGAGGCAGGATATTTCACTAATCAATTTAAGCATTTGAAACTCCATTCAATCAAAATCCATGTCAGGTGAAAGTATTTGTTTCTTCTGTGTGGTAAAGATTGTGTCAACAGAGAGCAAATAATGCAAGATAAGCACACTAAAACACATAATCAATAGCGGGAGAGGAAAAAATCATTGCAAGACACAGTTAGGCAAAATCTTTCAGCAAACACACCAAAATATAGCTGAGAGCACCTGTGTTGCCTCCAACCATATCCTGATGGCACGACTGAGAGTGAGATGCACGAAAATGCTTTGAACAAGTAGCTGGTGCACAGGGCATTTCCTTCTTCCCAATTGAATCAACTTCCTCACTTACAGATGCAACTTGGACAATGGGAGATTCAACTTCTTTGGTCTTGCAGGAAGATCTGAAGTGCAGCACCCACGGATTTTCCAGAAGATCACCACAAGATCCATCTGCCTTATTTACTTCAGCTTCAGCTCTTACAAAATTGATTTTCTGCCAGCAGCCACCTCGAAATACCTTAAACTGCAACAAAAAATTAAGTTCCAATTAATTCACATATTTATATAATACAATCGAATAGCCATTACAAGAAATAGATCAGACTCAAACCTGGCCAGAAGGGGCACGAGAATTGAACTGGGGTTGCCTTGATGATTTGGGAAGCAATAAACTCCCCTTTTGTGAGTGCCAACCACGCGAATCCATGGAACTATACAACTGGTTAACAAATGATGCTTCCATAGATTTCAAGTACATACTGTGTTTCTCATCCGTCCATTCCGTAGACATAGTTTCTGTTGCGGCCGGAGTACCCTAATAAAGTTATGTACTATGATCAGAAATCTTTAAATCAGACTACACACAAATACACACATACACATACATGTACATACGCATGTCTTTGCAGAAAACATCTCACCTTTGTTGCCAGGAAAAAAAAGGTTAAAAGTTGTCACTAGAGAAACAAAAAAAATTTAAACAACACCATCCTCTCAGTTTTTGAAACACAAACCATTTCATACACACAATATTACTTCCCTAATAGTGCAAAAGGAAGCATTGGCATTCCGATATTTCAATTATTCCTTACCAAATGAGCAACGGTATAACAAATATCAGACATTATTTTCATGAAAAGAAAGAAGATAAAAACCCATAATTTCTAATTAATAAAAGACGACTTTTCCATTTTGATCATTACAAAAAAGCTTGTCAATAAGCCAACCCCATCCCTTCCAATTTCCATTAGATCCCAACCCAAATATGAAAATAAATCATAAAAAGTAAGCGTCAATTGGGTTTTTTGGGAAGGGGCATGGAGAAACCATGTGCCAATTTTCAAAAGGAAGAAAAGAGAAACGAACCAAAATATCAAAGTACGGATTTTTCTGCAAATATAGAGCAGAAAAGTACCAGGTCTGATGGAGGGTCCTCGTCCGGCGCAGCAAACTGGCTTGGCCTCTCAACGGTTAACTGAGAAATCTGCAACTCTCTCGCCCTGAAATTATCCATAAATTACTACGAAAACCCAGCTCTCGAAACTCTATGGCTTTTCAAAGGTCTAGAATTCAGGTGATCTAAGAAGAAGAAGATGGTTGGAATTGAAACGAAAGGGAATGAAGGCTTTGGAGGCGGTGATGGGAACAAAAGAACGGTACAGTTGTCACGCCTTTTACACGTGTCATGGGGCCATGGCGCTGCCACGTCACTCCCAGGTTTTGATGGGCGCTGTGGCGATGCCAAGATATTTATTGGAGCCTCCAAAATATCTCCTGTCTTTCGCCTTCGGCTTTGGGTTACGTGGCACCGCCCTTTAACTGTCACCTGCTTCGCCTCTTCGCGCGCTCTTTTCACTTTCGGGTCGGGTTGGTGGCCCGACCCCTTTCGTGCCGTTTTCGTCTTTGATATTTCTTTTCTTCCTTGTAATTTCAGTGTAGAGGTACAAGATATTAATTAATAAAAACAATTTTTTTAATATTGAAGTATCTGAATTTGGTGAGGTCCAATGAAATCACTGTAATTTATTAAAGATTTCGAAATATAGAAGAAAAGGACCTGTCGAGATAAAAGAGATGTTGTCACTTTATTGATAGTTCTGCCTCACCAAATAATGAATTCCTTTTTTTTTTGTTCGTTTAAGGAAAAGGAAAGAAAAACTTTTTTTGTTTAGGGGGTTTACGTAAATATTTAATGGATATTTGAGGATTTTAAACCTTTGTTCACATATGTAGAGCTGGAAGTGCTCAACCAACTAAGTTATATCTTACTGGCGAAAGAAAAATATTTTAAAATTGATTCTTTGTGTTGAATAATTATAGTGAAGTACAATAGTACGATCACATGTTATAATATAAGTGAATATTTATTATATCGTCCATCCATATTATAACACGTGTATAAATTACTATGTGACTGTACTACAATACCATTCTATAATGTGTTTTTAGGTGTAAAACATTGAAGATAATATCAGAAAACAAATTATAGACAAAATATAGAGAAAGAAAATAGGAATTTAAAAAATTGTGAAAGATGTGATCGGCTAAGAAAATATCTTGAGTGGGTCCGCATAATTGAGCTGCTATCTTGATCATACAAAATAATTTGGGAGATAATCGAGCTAGTCAGAGTCAGATCACTGCATCAGGTACAATGAATATCTATCCAAATTCTGCATTCTAGTATATTTATTGGATGAGAACTTCTGCTTTACATCATTACAATTAAAAGCAACTTCATTTCGTCACCACTTTGATAACATTGGAGGGGAAATGGAACACGAAAACTCGAGTAGAAGTAAATTACATGGAGGGTTCGGAGATGCATGTATCAAAGTTTATTGGTGCCACGTGTAGTTTAACAATTGGTGAACAAGTAGATAAGTGATGTGTTTTTTTTCCGCCAGAACAAGTGGATATAAGTACATTCCTTTTTTCTTCTCAGCCACTTTGTAAATTCAAATTCAAATTCAGGACAAAAGAAAGAAAAGAAAAAATTCAAATCCAAAGCATCCATAATGTAATAGATATTTCGATGATGTATCCACTCTGATAGACAAAACTGAATAAGATGTTGGTATAACTAATGTACAAATTTTCCTTGTACTAAAAATAAGGGAATACATATGTTATAACAAAAAAACTCAGGAAACATAGGAGGGAGGGTAAGGTTGAATTTAAGAATGATGGTTTTTACAGCAGCAGTTATAGATCAAGGCGTATTTGGGGTGGAGTGATAATGAATACCACCCAAGATCATATCAACTTTGAGCTGACCTCTTTATTCATGTCTTCATGTTTACAACAAATCTTGCATGCCAAATCTGATCTTGCATATCGACGGCTTCTATTGCAGATTACGCGCCAAAGGTAAATAATAATTCTCGGTCCTTTACAATACTTAAATTTCCTGCTTCTGATCTCCCTCTGGTATCGCAGTTTCTTGCAAGTCAATTCTACCTGCATTAGCAGGAAGCAGAAAAGGTAAAGGTAAAATGAAGCCAGCTGCTGGTTGCCAGCTTGTGCTTGTAAAAAATTAATAAACATACCTAATAAGGAAATCAGAGAAGGGGCCTTTGCAGAACTATTTGATCTCATGTCTGTACCTACAAAGCATGCCCAAATTTTAAGTCTAGGAACAATATTTGCAAGAGGCGTGAAGAATATAAGATATGATCCATGCTCATGTCCGAATTCTTTATCGTATAGAGCTCTCTTCATTTGTAATTTCAGATCATATGCTAATATGGTCAGACGTGTAATGAGAACTAGCATCAAAATTGATAAGGAAAGCTATCTAACTGTAGAAGCAGCAGACCTGAACTTTCAAGTGATCTGAGGACATCTGATTTCTTAAAAGTGTATCCAATGAAATTGGTATCTTTCGACGTTAACATCTGCAACACCAAACAAGCAAAAGATATCACATTAGATCTAATATTAGAACAATTGCACAAGCTTCACACATAAACTTAAATAAATAGGAGAGAACATGAAGTCATTACCTTCCGCCAAGGTCCCACTGTTGGCATTGTAGATGGCGGGCCCTCTACCTATAATAGGGAAAAAAGGGGGAAAAAATTAACAATAAGATGGCAACTACCATCAACATGATTTGGCTTTGATTTAGCGAAAAATATGCTTAAAGATAGAAGTGCGGACCCAAAAAGATAGTACCAAGGGCTATTAAAAAAATACTATTTGCGAGAATATCACCCTTTTTCATTCGAATAAATGCTTTCCCACTATAAAGATAACAGATTCCAACTCATTGATTTTCAATTAACTCACTTCAGGAAACTTTTCAAAATTCTGAGTGTCCAAGTCTCCAATGACTGTAGGTTTATATGCAGCTTCGATTTCATACAGCCTGTCCCACTGAACACATCTGAACCATGGATGGGCCTGAGAAAACATTAGCTTTTAAGTGAACAAACATCGAACAATGATATATTACAACATTGTGCTAACTGCGCTAACATGTATGAGTTAAATTTTTTTAAGAAGAAGCATATGGTTATCTGGAACTTTAATTTCTTATGTACAGTCACTACTATCACAAAAACAGTAGTTTTCTGAAGTTTTAACATACTTGTAAAGAACATCATTAATTCTTTGAAACCTGGTTACCTTAATTTCTTCTGCTCCATGTGTCCCAAGCCTTGATTCAACGTCACATAACAAGTGACAGATCAGATCCTTTGCCTCATCCGAAATTTTTGGTTCGTCAGGAAATTTCAGGCATGTTCTCCAATTGATTATCTACAAAAAAAAAGAAAAAAAAAAGAAAAAAAAAAAGGGTAATGTTATCTACTCTGCAATTACAAAGGATTGCGTCAAACATCTACGAGAGACAACCATGATGATATTACCTTGCGGCATGTGATCCTTGGGTCATCGGAGCAGAAGGGAGGATAGCCTACAAGCATCTCATACATGATTGCCCCTAGGGACCACCAATCGCACTCTATTCCATATCCTTTCTTGAGCAACACCTCAGGTGCCATATAGTCAAGAGTTCCAACGGTTGAATAAGCCTGAACAAAATGGATTGTCTTTGTAACTCACAACATGTACAAATTAATCACTCAACAACTACAAAATTAAGAAGTTCGAAATTTCAAATTTCCAATAATCTAGGTAAGAAAGGACATCACTGCTTGATATGCATGGATACTAAATCTAATATTTTGGATGAGGATTTGAAGATTTGAGGAAGAGTTGATAAGAAAATGGGATAAATATTACCAGGGCACGACGATTACGTTTCCATTGTTGTAATTGTTCTTTTGGCATCAACCAAGGAACCTTATCACAGCCAGATTGTCCTTCAGTTTCAGATATGGATTCCTGGGAGGTTAAATCATCATTTTCCAGTAACAGTGTAGAATACTTGTCATCCAGAGGTTTACACAAGCCAAAATCTGAAAGCTTCAAATGGCCATTTTTATCCAGTATCAGGTTATCTGGTTTTATGTCCCTGTAAAAAGAACCCAGTCACAGCACATATAAGTTTACATCCTTTTACTTCGAAACAAGTACATTTTCAAAATTACACGTGTTTTCGTGTGTGTGTGTGTGCGCGCGCGTACGTGCCTTTTGTGTCCATGAATATGTTTTTCGAGAAGAACCAGCAAGGAAACTCAAATGTGTACAACATCCAAATCATCTTTATATTGAACTAAAAGATACTATTCATTTATAAAATAAAATAAAATAAAAAGGAAAGAAAATAAAATTTGTTGCTATTCATAAAAAATAAAAAAACTGAATTGGTGCACAATTGTCATACCTATGAATGTAGTTGTGTTGATGGATTGAGTGAATAGCCAGAATACTCTCTGCTATGTAAAAACGTGCAACATCTTCGGAAAGAGTATCTTCTCTCATCAATAATGTCATAATATCACCACCAGGTAAGTACTCCATGATAAGGTATAAGAAATCAGAATCTTGAAATGAATAATGAAGTTTTACAATGCACCGGCTATCAACCTCCGCAAGTAAGTTCCTCTCAGAACGCACATGCTCAACCTAAAAGGCGGAAATAAAATGTATTAGAATTATTAACAATATATCATGATGCACAATGATACGGTACATAGTGCAGTATCAGGACATAACCTAAAGTTATTTAATTAGAATATTGTCACCTGTCCTCGGCTAAGCATCTCAGATTTCTTCAATTTCTTCATGGCATAAATCTCTCCTGTACCTTTAGCACGACATAACCTTACCTGCGTTTGTTAAACACTTAAGAGATGAGTGTCATATTTTATATTTTACAACGTATATCCCATTTCCATATCTATATGATCAACAGAACTAAAACCATAATTCTATAATATACATAATACTATCAAAGCTACGTCAAGGGTCTTCACATGGTCCATAAAGCTAATACAAGAGCTATCTGAACTGAATATAAAACTTTTTGTAATGAAAACTGGACAGAAAAATACCATGTACGTGTGTTTATAAGGGAAAACCAAAAAGCTCTGTGAAGTGAAGTAACTCGATGTTTTTACATACCTCACCAAATGCCCCTTTACCAATGACAGTTAATTGCTCAAAATCATCAATTCCGATTTTACGTCTTTGCAGCCTCATGTATTCTGTTTCTCTGCGTTCCAATATCCTCATCATCTCTTCTTGTTCCTCAGTTGGTATCTGATCTTCTTGTGCTTTCCTTTGAAGTGCTCGGCGTCTAAAACAGAGAAATATGTAATTGAGTTGAGTTACAAAATTATTCACAAGAAAGGTCTGCCCAAGCTAAATAGTCTTTCTCACAGCATTCACAGCAACATTGCTCAATATATTATTGCACTTGGCTATTTACTGGAACCGAACCATAAATGAGAACAATGGAAATTAAAGTTCACAGCTGAAGTTTCCTAATTACCAAACAGAAACCGTAAATAGCAAAAAAAAAGGGAAACTATGATTAAAAGGAAAAATTTGAAGGAATTTAAAATTGAGCATGGACACAACTGCAGCACATATAACACAACACAATGCGTATATAGTAGCAGAACTCTATGCACCAAATTAAGACGAACCTGGAACCTTCAAAGTGATACAAATGGTAAACACACACAGCTAAAGTGCTAAACAAGCTGGCACTATCAAAATTAGATCACAATTTGAGCAAAAATCAATCGAAAACCTGGAAACGAATCAGAAACTACCTCTCTTTGCGATCCTGTAGTCCTTGTAGATAGTTCTTGTAGTGATTCTCAATGAACTGCTTCGCCGCCGCCGCCTTCTGCCTCGTCACCGGCGACGAAACCGACACGTCGGGACCCGAATCGAGGCCGCCGACCCGATCCGGCTTCAAGTTGAGAGCGCCGAGCCTCATCGTCCCATCGCCGCCGTCCATTTCTCCAACAACAAACCCGATCAAATCAACCCCGAGGAGCCAAAAAGCCAGATCAAAACCTCAATCCGTGAAGCATTTCAGCGACGAAATGAAGAAGCTTCGGCTGCAAGAATTCGAGGAGAGATCTGGCGAGCCAAGTGTTTGCGAAAATGACAGAGTAAGAGTCCAAGCAAAAGGATACTTGGAAGTATGCACTGGCATATGCGTAGTATATGTAAATAAAATCTCTATTTATATGCTTGGCTGGGACCGTGTCGTGTTAGTTTGTGCCGGTCTGCGTTTTGGGATTTGGATTTAGGTGACCCGTGGTTTGATCAACTTTTCGTGGTCCCCGGGTCAAGGCGCTGAAACGTGTGCGTCACGAGGGGATCGTGTGGGGGAGTATGATTAGTTTGATCATGACCGTTGGATTATGATTGGACTGTTTAGAAATTAAAAAAATCATTACCATTTTGTGCATTTAATCATGATTCTAATTGTTAGAGCCAGCCACTCAATTGGTTTATTTTTTCCTTCCTCCTCAAAGTGCAAGGAATTCTCACTTTGTATGCCCATTGGGTAATTAAAAGAGAAAAGTTCCTTGAAAGGTGGTCTATAGTTTATCACTCATAAAAAATATAGATATTTATAAAAAAATACATAATTCTAAACATGTATTTATAAAAATACCCAAGCACTAATTAAACATAGAAACATACCCAAAATAGATTTTGGGTATGTGTGTAATGATGGATTTTGGGTATATTTATAAATGGGTTTTGAGTGTGTGTAATGATGAGTTTTGGGTATGTTTATAAATGGGTTTTGAGTGTGTGTAATGATGAATTTTGGGTATGTTTATAAAGTGTTTTGGGTGTTGGGTATTTTTATAATTTCAACCCCCATTTTGGGTATTTTAGTGAAACTCCCTAAAAAATAGTGCATGCACCAACTTCGCCAGTTTTAGCCATTACATTGCCCTTTGATCACTTAGAAAATTCTTTGATTATTGTTGCAAAAAGAGCCAACAGCCCTAAGAAAACCTTAGAAAATCCAAATCATTTTCTTTGCAATTTTCTCATCTTAATATTGCAAGAGGTTCTAACTTCGAATCCTTTTCGTTAGACAATTAAATGTAAACTCCAAAAGTGTGGTCAATTATTAGGACTTGGACTTGACTAATAGTAATTGCTGAGAAAATTTGAATTGCATCAGAAAGGTTAAAACTATACACAACGTTCCTTCATTGAATCTTCTAGTATATACAAGTTAAGTTCTTTGTATTTACAGTTCTTCATGGAAGAATTTGATTTTGCAACATTCAAATTGTAAAACTAATTTCAGTGTTGAGTAATAATTACCATTCCAGTACTCATTGAATTGTGTTCTACCTCATCAAGCTTTTCTCCTTGGCCGTTTGGCTTCACCATCGAGCTTCTTGTGGAGCACTGGCTTTTAGATTTTCTGCAGCTCATGGCTAAGGATATAGAAGCCCATCTCCAAATTCTTGTGTTGATCAACATTGCTCGTATGCAGCTCAAGTTCTGCATGTGCCTACCCGCTATACGCACAACTGTGACGAAAAATGCAGATGCACAAACGAAACCCGAAATTAAGAAGAGGCCAGAGAAAGGCCCAGGACCTATGGAATCTTCATTCTCCAACTTGATTGAAGAGGAGCAATTATAAGAGGAGAGCATTTGTTTTTCTAGTTGTTCCACTTGTCCTCTCTCATTGGTCTCTAGGATTGCCTCCGATATGTCAAAAGCCAAAGGAGAACCCTTCGGAAAAACCTGAAACATTTAATGAAGAGTGCAGGAATTAGATAAGTTTAGAGGTGATTGAAAATGAGTAATGTTTTGTAAAATATGACATGTTTACATAAACGATTCTCATTCTACGTGTGTATCGTATTTATTGATCGTATTATGGATTGCATATCTCGCGTAGATGGAACTCATGTGTAAGTCTATTTTGCTTGTGGATCAACCTTACAATAGTTTTATTTATTAAAGATTGGTTAACAAATTAAACATAAGGAAGGAGAGATACTCACAAATGCAAAGCCGCTAGGCTTGTAAACTGGTCCTGATTTGATATATCCCTTGCAGTACTTTGCAAGGAAGACTTTAGCATGGGGAGCAACAAAGAAAGCTGCAGCAATATCTTTCCTCTCAAAGGCATTTGGGTAGTCACTTATTGTGGCAATACTTTTGATATTTTCTGGTCTGAATTCTAAAACATTAATCAAGTATCTAACAATAAAAGAATTAATATTACACCCAACAGTTGCATTTGTTCTCTTAAGTGTTTCAATATCAAGCACAGACGGCTGAACTCGAGAGACGGTCATCATGGATGGAGGTGAGGCTTGCAGTGAAAGTAGCTGTCACAACTAGAATCACCATTAACCATGGAGCCAGCACCAACCGAGCCCAATTGCTCTGAACTCGTTCTCCTGCATATTTTAGATCGACATCTAGGATGTTAGCTTGATATACACTGTCCGTCCGCGTAAGCTTTTGGGATTCAGTACTTACTCTGTGCAAAGAACAGGACAGTGACAGAGAACCAAAGGATGGCCCCAATGCCCTTTAGTTCAAGGTTGTCTCCATGTTCATTTTCAATTAACCAGACGACAAAGCATACAGAAAGGTGCGCCACAATCATGAGGAACCACATGCTTTTGGTGAGGTCTTCATGAACATCCATTTTTCCTTCAGCTTATCTGGCTTTACAGTGACTACCATCACAATTCCAGAGCTCACATATGGCTGTGAGAATTCAACAAAATGATACCGATCAGCTACGACTTCTATATCACCAACAGCTGCATCCAAGCCCTATTGTACAAAGAATCAAATTGTCATGCTATAATAAGGTCAATTACAGTTCAAAAGAAGAAGAATTTCTACCTTGTAGTAGACCTGTTGCACCAATTCATCATATGAGCCATTGAAGGGAACAAACACATAAGGCAATTGATAAGGGAGATGTTTGACTGCTGCTTCAAAAACATCAATTGAAAATCCAGATATTTGTGTCTCATTCCTCTCCTGATCATAGCTTACTTTCACAAATTGATTGAAGGCACCCCTTGCAGGGATCCCAATCTTTAAGGGTCTTTCCCCTTCAACTGGTATCCACCACTTTGGGGTTCTAGCAAGCCACCCGGCCAATAGATTGGACCCAAAACTTGAATAGAACCATTCTCAATCCTCTCTTTCATGTCACTGTGCTTGATCAAGCTCTCTGAGAAACCAAATCTTGGTGACCAGAATGCTATCTCTCTGTAGCTTTTGCCAACAACATTAATGATTTGAAAGGTTGGAGGTTGTGATAGCATGCTATTTTTGAATTCTATCATGCCACTTAGACCTTGGAAAGAAGTGGACGCAATTTTTTGAGACAACTCTTTTGTGGTAACATTTTTCATGGCTCCAGCAATAGCCCAAATTGTGTCATAAGCTCGAAGAGCAAAGATACTAGGACTAGAATTTTCTTCTTCTTCAAGGTATTGTAGTCCGTATATTCTGCGAAATCTGGTTTTGAACCGTCTGAAAGTCTTTGTAGTTTCTATGAAGTTGGTTTTAATACCAACAACACCCTGCATGTTGTATTTGATAGAAGAATCAACAGAATCAAGAAGGCTTGCAATCTCATCTGTTACAATCCATACATGGCCTTTGTCCATCATGCCCAATTGCTTTGCCTTTTCAAAGAGAAGGACAGCTGACTGTAAAGAAAACTGCATGACTATAAAAACCCGAAAGTCTTTGTAGTTTCTATGAAGTTGGTTTTAATACCAACAACACCCTGCATGTTGTATTTGATAGAAGAATCAACAGAATCAAGAAGGCTTGCAATCTCATCTGTTACAATCCATACATTGCCTTTGTCCATCATGCCCAATTGCTTTGCCTTTTCAAAGAGAAGGACAGCTGACTGTAACGAAAACTGCATGACTATAAAAACCCTGTTGCTCTTGCTTCTCAACTTCTTAAGTTCCTTGTCAACGAAGCCATCTGGGTCAGAGAGAGAAGAAAGGGATGGGAAAGCTCTGTAGTGCTCAATCTCTGAGTTGACTAATCTAAGTGAATCAGAGAGGATACTAATCATGATTGCAGAAGCGGAGGAAAGTTCATTTTTGTGCTCGTAAATTGCAGTCACCTTTCGCCATTGGAAATGACCAACTAAGGCTGCAACGCATTGCTTATGGAAGCGGATATCGTTAGCTAATTGGAAGAAATTTGGCCATTGAAGAGACTCAGTTGGTGGGCTTATGGTAGTGGAAGGAAGTGATATGATGGGGGGAACATTTTGGTGGTATTATGGTCAATCTCAGAAACTAGAGCTGCTTCCTGCATGGTCAGTGTTCCAATTATGGCTACAACTTGTTTGCTATTGAGCAGATTGATTGCTGCAAAACAAACATACACGTCCATATTTAGACCCAACTAACCAAATTTTGATGATATTGGCATGCAAATTCAAGAGCATTAAACGACTAACGTTTATATCAGTTTGTGACATTAAGTATATGACTTTACCACCAGCTATTGCTCCGGCTGAATTGCCTTGTGAATCTTTAAGGTGCAAATCCAATCTAGTGCAGGTTGAGTGGAAAAGGTCTTGGATAGCCATTTTCATGGCTATTTTCTGTTCCTTGCCCACACGAGAGCCGTAATCAACAACAAAACCTATTCCTGCAATTGTCTGTTGAGTCATTTGACATTTATTCCCTCTTCCACTAGCCTTGGCTGAACCCACCAACAACAGCAAAACCAAGTAGAAAGAGAGACTGCTAGACATTTATTCACTAATAAAAGAATGCTTCTCTGTTTCTGGACTTTGTAGGTTGGCCAGTCTCTCTGAAATTTAACCCATTATATATTTAATTTAAGTCAGCACCAAACATATCTTTGTTTTCCTCGAAGCTAGCTGAGTTGAAAAATTGGCCAGGTGGGGACTTTGTAGGTTGGCCCGTCAAAAACGCCTCCCCCAAATGTACATAGCTCCAGACATTTTTGAGGTCTTCAGTTTAAGTCAGAACCAAGAATTCAACACAAATGGTGACCTCTGTCGGTCTGTATCAGACAACTTCCTGCATACTTCTGAGAAATATATATGTAGATGAGTAGATGTATATGTGATAGAGACATGTCATACGACCAGTTAGGAAGCTTGGCTTGAATTTGGATTTTAATGAAGAAGAAAAAAAAATCCAATTCCTTGGATTTGTTTAGTTGTTCCTCACCAAAGCAATTTGTTTAGCCTGTTTTTATGTTTTAGAAAAATAAAATAAGGGTTGTATAATTTGTCTTCTTTACGGATGCAAGATTCTTCTCAAGTATAATGTTCATTTTAGCCATCATACACAGCCACAACCCTTTGGAAATTGAAATTATCCAATGCTCAACTTCTCATATACTTATGGCACTTTTAAATACAATTTTTCAAATACTTTAACTGCTTTTCTTCACAGAGCTACTAGGAGTGACAATTCTCACGACAATCCTAAAAGTGATTATTCTCACAGCACACAGCTATGTAAAATCCCATCTCCAAACTCTTGTGTTAATTAACAGGGTTGGGTTGCAGCTCAACTTCCACAAGCACGTTTCCAGGAAGAAAATTCCTCCAATGCTCACGCACTAAACGCACAATTGTTACCAAAAATGCCAATGCACAAGCAAAACCTGCTATTAGAAATAGGCCAGAGAAAGGTTCAGGACCTATTGAACCATTGTTTGAGTTTATTGGAGAGGAGCAATTATAAGAGGAGAGCATTTGTTTTTCTAACTTTTCCACTTGTCCACTCTCAGTTGCCTCTAACATTGCCTCTGAGATGTCAATAGCCAGAGGCGAACCCTTTTGAAAAACCTGCAGCAGAGAATGAGAAATGCAACATTATCTTATAAACAAAATACATGGACTACACTACTTAAAGAAATGCAGAGGAAGGGGAGAAACTTACAAATCCAAAACCGCTAGGCTTGTACACCGATCCTGTTTTGGTAAAGCCAGCGTTGCAGTATTTTGCAAGGAAGACTTTAGCATGGGGAGAAACAAAGAAAGCTGCTGTAATATCCTTCCTCTCAAAGGCCTCTGGGTAGTCACTTATGGAGGCAATACTCTTGATATTTTCTGGTCTAAACTCTAAGACATTAATCAAGTACCTCACAATAAAAGAGTTTCCATTGCAACCAACAGTTGCATTTGTCATCTTTAGTGTTTCAATATCAAGCACAGATGGTTGGACTCGAGAGACGGTCATCATGGAGGAGAGGCTTGCAGTGAAAGTAGCTGTTACAACTACAATCGCCAATAGCCATGGAGCCAGCAGCAACCGAGCCCAAGGGTTCTTAAATTGTTCTCCTGCATATTGTACAAATGTAGGAGATCATATGAGGCTGTATGTTATAGAGGGTGCCAGTAAGGTGACAAGCACTAGCAGTATGATTTCTGTAGTTTTTATGAGTACTTACTTGGCGCAAATAACAGGCAATCAATGCAGAACCAAAAGGCTCCAATGTCCTCTAAGCTACGTCCATGTACAATTTCCATTAAGCAGGCGACCAAGCATACAGAAAGGTGTGTAACAAACAGGAGGAACCACATTTCTCTGGTGAAAGGCCACACCAACATCTCTGTTTCCTTCAGCTTATCTGGCTTCACAGTGACTACCATCTCCAGCCCAGAACTTATGTATGGCTGTGTGAATTCAACATAATGGTACCGATCTGCTATGACTTCTATATCACCAACAGCTGCATCCAAGCTCTATTTTTTACATAGAGTAAAATGGTCATCAGTGTGTATAGAATTGAGCACTGCATAAACAGCATTAGTACACAAAGCCAAGACACTTCAATGTTGCAAATGGTGGTCATCTTAGGAATGGAATTAGTGCAGAAGATAAAGAATCTCTACCTTATTGGAGACCAGTTCCACCATCTCATCATATGAGCCATTGAAGGGCACAAACTCGTAAGGCAACTGATAAGGGAGATGTTTGACAGCTGCTTCAAACACATCAATTGAAAATCCTGAGATGTCTGTCTCATTCGTGTCCGGGTCATATCTTACGTTCACAAACTGCGTGAATGCACCCATCGCAGGAATCCCTATCTTTAAGGGTCTATCTACATCAACAGGTGTCCATCCCTTTGGGGTTGTCTGTAATCCACCAGGCCAATAGATTGGACCCAAAACTTCAGCAAAAGCATTCATATCAGTATGTTTCATCAAGTTCTCTGAGAAACCGTATCTTGGTGACCAGAATGCCATCTCTCTGTAGCTTCTGCCAATCACATTAATGATTTGAAAGGTTGGTGGTTGTGATAGCATTCCATTTTTGAACTCTATCATGCCACTCTGACCTTGGAAAGCAGTCGACAGGATTTTTTGAGACAGTTCTTTTGAGGTAACATTTCCCTGTTGCAATATTTTAAGGGCTCGACCAGTGGCCCAAATTGCATCATAAGCTCGGAGAGCGAAGATACTAGGACTAGAATTTTCTTCTTCTTCAGGGTACAGTAGTCCATATATCCTGCGAAATCTGGTTTTGAACTGCTTGAATGAGGTTTCTGCAAAGTGAGTTTTAATACCAATGACACCTTGCATGTTATACTTGACAGAAGTGTCAACAGAATCAAGAAGGTTTGCAATCTCATCTGTGACAATCCACACATAGCCTTTGTCCATCACGCCCAGCTGCTTTGCCTTTTCAAAGAAAATGACAGCTGACTGCAAAGAGAACTGCATGACTATGAAGACCCTATTGCTCTTGCTTCTCAACTTCTTAAGCTCTTCTTCAACAAGGGCCTCCGGGTTTGAGACAGAAGGCAAGAATGGGAAAGCTTGGTAGTGTTCAATATCTGAGTTGACTAATCTAAGTGAATCAGAGAGGAGAGTTATGATCCCTAAATGAGAGGAAAATTCATTATTGTGCTCGTAAAGTGCAGTCACCTTTCTCCATTGGAAATGACCAACTAAGGCCGCAACGCATTGCGTATGGAAGGCAATGTTGTTAGCTATTTGGATGGAAATTGGCCATTGAAGTGACTCTGATGGTGGGCTCGTGGCGGTGGAAGTAAGGGATATGATGGGAAAACTATTTTCAATCTCAGAGAGTAGAGCTGCTTCTTGCATGGTCAGTGTTCCGATGATGGCTACAACTTGTTTGCTACTGAGGAGACTGATTGCTGCAAAACAAAAATACTTTTTCATTTCAGAGCGAAGTAACCAAAGTTTGCTGAAACTGGCATGCAAATATGACAGTTTAGAAGTGTAGATACAACTTTACCTGCAGCTGTTGCTCGAGCTGAGTTCCCTTGTGAATCTTTCAGGTGTAAATCCACTCTAGCGCAGATTGACTTAGAAAGATCTTGGATAGCCATTTCCATGGCTACTTTCTGTTCTTTTCCCACTCGAGAGCTGTGATCAATGACACAACCAACTCTTGCAGTTATCTGTTGGGTTATTTGACATTTGTCCTGACTTCCATCAGGTTTGGCTGAACTCAATAACGATAGCAATACCAAGAAGAAAGAAAGACCACCAGACATATTGCTTTTCATTGCTATTCCTTTCGAGAATAATGAGAATATATAGTATCATGTATCTTATTGAGAGGTTGAATGAGTTGACTTTTGGCAGATGAGCAATCAAGAAAGATTCAAAGCTGAAATTTTTTTAGATGTATATGTGATAGAGACATGTCATACGACCAGTTAGGAAGCTTGGCTTGAATTTGGATTTTAATGAAGAAGAAAAAAAAATCCAATTCCTTGGATTTGTTTAGTTGTTCCTCACCAAAGCAATTTGTTTAGCCTGTTTTTATGTTTTAGAAAAATAAAATAAGGGTTGTATAATTTGTCTTCTTTACGGATGCAAGATTCTTCTCAAGTATAATGTTCATTTTAGCCATCATACACAGCCACAACCCTTTGGAAATTGAAATTATCCAATGCTCAACTTCTCATATACTTATGGCACTTTTAAATACAATTTTTCAAATACTTTTACTGCTTTTCTTCACAGAGCTACTAGGAGTGACAATTCTCACGACAATCCTAAAAGTGATTATTCTCACAGCACACAGCTATGTAAAATCCCATCTCCAAACTCTTGTGTTAATTAACAGGGTTGGGTTGCAGCTCAACTTCCACAAGCACGTTTCCAGGAAGAAAATTCCTCCAATGCTCACGCACTAAACGCACAATTGTTACCAAAAATGCCAATGCACAAGCAAAACCTGCTATTAGAAATAGGCCAGAGAAAGGTTCAGGACCTATTGAACCATTGTTTGAGTTTATTGGAGAGGAGCAATTATAAGAGGAGAGCATTTGTTTTTCTAACTTTTCCACTTGTCCACTCTCAGTTGCCTCTAACATTGCCTCTGAGATGTCAATAGCCAGAGGCGAACCCTTTTGAAAAACCTGCAGCAGAGAATGAGAAATGCAACATTATCTTATAAACAAAATACATGGACTACACTACTTAAAGAAATGCAGAGGAAGGGGAGAAACTTACAAATCCAAAACCGCTAGGCTTGTACACCGATCCTGTTTTGGTAAAGCCAGCGTTGCAGTATTTTGCAAGGAAGACTTTAGCATGGGGAGAAACAAAGAAAGCTGCTGTAATATCCTTCCTCTCAAAGGCCTCTGGGTAGTCACTTATGGAGGCAATACTCTTGATATTTTCTGGTCTAAACTCTAAGACATTAATCAAGTACCTCACAATAAAAGAGTTTCCATTGCAACCAACAGTTGCATTTGTCATCTTTAGTGTTTCAATATCAAGCACAGATGGTTGGACTCGAGAGACGGTCATCATGGAGGAGAGGCTTGCAGTGAAAGTAGCTGTTACAACTACAATCGCCAATAGCCATGGAGCCAGCAGCAACCGAGCCCAAGGGTTCTTAAATTGTTCTCCTGCATATTGTACAAATGTAGGAGATCATATGAGGCTGTATGTTATAGAGGGTGCCAGTAAGGTGACAAGCACTAGCAGTATGATTTCTGTAGTTTTTATGAGTACTTACTTGGCGCAAATAACAGGCAATCAATGCAGAACCAAAAGGCTCCAATGTCCTCTAAGCTACGTCCATGTACAATTTCCATTAAGCAGGCGACCAAGCATACAGAAAGGTGTGTAACAAACAGGAGGAACCACATTTCTCTGGTGAAAGGCCACACCAACATCTCTGTTTCCTTATAACGATAGCAATACCAAGAAGAAAGAAAGACCACCAGACATATTGCTTTTCATTGCTATTCCTTTCGAGAATAATGAGAATATATAGTATCATGTGTCTTATTGAGAGGTTGAATGAGTTGACTTTTGGCAGATGAGCAATCAAGAAAGATTCAAAGCTGAAATTTTTTTTTGTCATTGTTTGCATGACACTTCAAAATGATTGTACTGGGTTCTACATTCCCCTGGCTGTTAGCGGGCTGTAGCTAATTCTTTCTAGTTGAAATTTGGGTTTCCTGATTTATTATTGGGTGCAATATTTTATGAAAGTCAACATATCATTGTTTTTTTGGTAGCTTGGTTTTGCTTATTTATTAAGACAACTTCCTGCATTAGTTCTGAGAAGAATATAGGTAGATTCTCAGAAATAGATTTGTAGATGAGGATGTGATAGAGACATGATAATTGTTAAATAGGAAAGAAAATTTCAATTCTCAGGTAACAAGCTGTACAGCATGAGGTCAAGAGATAGAGGAATGAAAAATGAGCTCCCAACTGGTTTGAGGTCTTGAATTGAAGTCAATAACCAAGCTTGGTCTTGCTTATTTATTAAGTACTGCCCTATATGCATATCAAAGTCAAACAAAATGCATATCAGTATGGTCATGCCAAAAAGCTAACCATACAAACAAGTGAGGGCCTTGTTTATATCAGACAACTTCCTGCATTGCCTCTCAGAACTATATTTGCAGATTCTCAGAAATTGGTATATAGATGAGTAGATATATATATGCGACGGAGAGTCTAATCCATGAAGACCCTGTCGCTCTTGCTCCTCAACTTCTTAATCTCTTCTTCGACAAAGACATTTTGAGTCATGTGGAGAAGGAAGGGATGGGAAAGCTTGGTGGTGCTCAATTTCTGAGTTGAATAGTGGATCAGAGGGATTGCTAGAGTGTCAAATTGGTGTTCATGTTGAATTAGGTCAACACAAACACGACACGATTATCAATTTTGCATGTGTGACATAAGATAACACGTATAACTTGTTTATGAATTATTTTCACTTAAACAGACATATTGCTTTTCATTGCTATTCCTTTCGAGAATAATGAGAATATATAGTATCATGTGTCTTATTGAGAGGTTGAATGAGTTGACTTTTGGCAGATGAGCAATCAAGAAAGATTCAAAGCTGAAATTTTTTATTGTCATTGTTTGCATGACACTTCAAAATGATTGTACTGGGTTCTACATTCCCCTGGCTGTTAGCGGGCTGTAGCTAATTCTTTCTAGTTGAAATTTGGGTTTCCTGATTTATTATTGGGTGCAATATTTTATGAAAGTCAACATATCATTGTTTTTTTGGTAGCTTGGTTTTGCTTATTTATTAAGACAACTTCCTGCATTAGTTCTGAGAAGAATATAGGTAGATTCTCAGAAATAGATTTGTAGATGAGGATGTGATAGAGACATGATAATTGTTAAATAGGAAAGAAAATTTCAATTCTCAGGTAACAAGCTGTACAGCATGAGGTCAAGAGATAGAGGAATGAAAAATGAGCTCCCAACTGGTTTGAGGTCTTGAATTGAAGTCAATAACCAAGCTTGGTCTTGCTTATTTATTAAGTACTGCCCTATATGCATATCAAAGTCAAACAAAATGCATATCAGTATGGTCATGCCAAAAAGCTAACCATACAAACAAGTGAGGGCCTTGTTTATATCAGACAACTTCCTGCATTGCCTCTCAGAACTATATTTGCAGATTCTCAGAAATTGGTATATAGATGAGTAGATATATATATGCGACGGAGAGTCTAATCCATGAAGACCCTGTCGCTCTTGCTCCTCAACTTCTTAATCTCTTCTTCGACAAAGACATTTTGAGTCATGTGGAGAAGGAAGGGATGGGAAAGCTTGGTGGTGCTCAATTTCTGAGTTGAATAGTGGATCAGAGGGATTGCTAGAGTGTCAAATTGGTGTTCATGTTGAATTAGGTCAACACAAACACGACACGATTATCAATTTTGCATGTGTGACATAAGATAACACGTATAACCTGTTTATGAATTATTTTCACTTAAATTAAGCTTCAAGGATCATATATAGTATGAAGTTTTAACTAAATTTAATGTTTAAGTAATTTATACCTATATTTATCATGTTATAGGTATTATATACTCGATTATTTCTTGTTCTTTTCAAGTCGTCTCCGAAATTGTGATCCCTAGGCACTGATGGAGGGTCAAACAATTGACCGTTGACCCAAGCCAAAATTCAGAATTGGGCTTTTGGGCTTTGGGCTTCTGGTAGCAAACCCAGGCAGGATTGAAGGCAGAGGTGGAGAGTGGAGAACCGAGCGAGCATTTTGCTTCTTTATCTGCTAAGCATCTACAGGCGTTGATTGTGACTGCTAATGGGTCTTCAAGGCTTCAACTTTGAAGAAAAAGTATGAGAATTGATAACTAAAAGAGCAGAATTACTTACAGCAGAGCTTAAGCTAGTAGAAGCTAGGGCACAGCCATGGCATCTCTCTCTAGATCACCGCCACTTGTCCACCACCAGATAAACTCCCTCACTCTCAACCCGTGCCCGGTAACTCTATCCTTCCCTTTCTTCAAAACGACGGCGCTCCAGCCCCGTCTCTGTGCCCTGAAGACCGGGGCGGACGGGGGCAGCAGAACCGGGAGGCCCAGAACACAGGGACCCGACCCGGGATTGCTTCGGAAGCCGGTGGTGTCGTCCGGGAAGGACATGGATGGAATTTCGGATGAAGATGAAGGAGAAGACGGGAAATGGGTCGATTGGGAAGATAAGATTTTGGAAGACACGGTTCCTCTGGTCGGATTCGTGAGGATGATACTTCATTCTGGGAAATACGAGAGCGGAGATAGATTGAGCCCTGAGCATGAGAAGACTGTTCTTGAGAGGTTGCTTCCATTTCACCCTGAAGCTCAGAAGAAGATCGGTTCTGGGATTGATTATATCACAGTAAAGTCTCTTCCTTTATTCAATTCTCTCTAATTTAGCTTATTTTACTGTTCTGGGTATGAATTTTTTGGTGCCAAATTTAATAATTGGATATTTCCATATTGGTCCCAATGTTTTGCTTGATTGCCTGCCCATGTTTTATTTTATCCATATAACTATTGTTTACATTAGAAAAGAGAATTTTGGCTACTAACAGCCAGAAAAACTTAGAAGTATTAGCTATTTGGATATGCCTGTTACTTGTGTAGTTAAACTGTGTATATCAATCGTTTCTGTTTTGCTATTGATCAGACTGCATTGCTTTTGAATTTCTACTACTTTTATCTTGTATGAATCATTCAACTCTTTCTGATATCCATCTTTTTCTTTTTTCCTTCAAACAACTGGTCTATATGAACTTGGGGCTTGTGTTAGCGTAGCTTATGCATGTAATGTTTGCCCTCCATCATCAGATATGCATTTTACTAATGCTTCCCCTTTGAACTCCAGCACTCCGGCACTCCGGTACTCCGGTGTGGGAGTGTTTACGCTCCATCACTCCAGTGTGGAATGGGGTTGGGGTTCAATCAGTCTACTTCCCTTTAGATATATAGTTATCTGTATTGTTTCTGATATGAGCTTCACCAGTGAATGATAAGTAAGAATTGTTACTTGTTACTTGCTGGTGTTCAGAACACATATAATGAACAGTTAGTTGATCGAAGACGTTTTAATCCACTCCTAGAATCCTGAAATGTTGAAAATTAGGTTGTGTGATCTCAACAACATGCTTCCAAAATGGTGGCACTTGACATCAGGCAGTCATGTTTGAATTCGAAAACCAAATATGGAAATCTTCTTCTGCATTCGATACCTTGTCAAACATGAGCACCTTTTGGTTTTCTCAAGTATCTGATATTAGTGTTTTACAAGTGAACCGGATTTCCTAAAATGATGCAATTTTCTCTTTTTGGGTTGACAGGTTGGTTATCATCCTGATTTTGAAAGCTCAAGATGTTTGTTCATTGTTCAAAAGGATGGAACATTGGTCGACTTTTCATACTGGAAGTGCATCAAGGGGCTGATCAGGAAGAACTATCCTCTATACGCAGACAGCTTCATTCTCAGACATTTCCGAAAGCGCAGACGCGGTTTATGAAGCTAGATAATCAAACCATCTGACTTTGTATAACCTGTATGTTAAAGAAAAGTTTTGTTGCCTCCATATTGCTTGTTATATGCCAGTTTTAATTGTCAGATTAAATGTCAAGAAAGTAGTAGTAGTAGTAGATATTGAAAATTCTTTCAAGGTAGAGAGATGCACATGTTACAATGAAACTACGGTAACAAATGCTGTGGCACAAAAACTGTGTTTGGTCTTTGATATATTCTCTTAAGTGAAATGGAGTGGGTGGTATTCTCTCTCTCTCTCTCTCTCTCTCTCTCTCTCTCTCTCAGATCATTTTGCGACAAGGGGATCAAGCATGCAATTAGAGGGAGAAAGAATTTCATGCAACTGGGATGCACTTTTTGATACCCCTGCTAATAATGCAATGATACGTGGGATAATTTTTTCACGTGTTATAGTATTATTGGTTAAGAATAGCCATTCCCATTGCAAGTAAGTTTTTCTGAATTAGAGGACGCAGAAGGCATTCAATCTCCTAGATTTTCAGTTTCTTGGGACTTCATTTCATTCAACTGGGATAGCACTTTTTGATACCTCTGCCAATAATGCAATGATACGTGGGATAATTTTTTCACGTGTTATAGTATTATTGGTTAAGAATAGCCATCCCCATTGCAAGTAAGTTTTTCTGAATTAGAGGACCCAGAAGGCATTCAATCTCCTAGATTAGGCTCTTTTCTCGGATGGGATGAGGCTTCGTAGACACCCATTTCTGTTGAAGTGTCTGGTATGAAACACGTATTCATTATGCAATTATGCACTCACATGACACCTAAAAAAAAAGAAAGCACTAGCACCTGAGAAATGAGAATGTTTTTTTTTTTTTGTTCTTTCAAAATTGTGGGTTCATTTAGAAGAACGTGGCACCATGGTATGAACAAAATACTACAAAACATAATTGCTATAAAAACCCTAACTTTTCCCCCAACCACGCCTGAAAAGGTTCCCAAATTACAACTGCTACCAGTAATTTTAAAGGTTGCTAATTAAAATAAACAGGACCTAGATGGTTCTTTTGAATGCGATAGGGAAGATACATGACCGATGAGTGACAAGAAGTCCAAGTTTGCAAGTTCTTTTGACAATTTGTAAGAGAGCTGTTATTTGCATTTTAGAAGGACGGAAAACTCGCTCTTTATTGATCGAAGAACCCCTTTTATTCTTTCACCAAGACTTTGAGTAAATATCTGAATTCAATGAACGAAGAATAGAATAGTACATTATGACTTTGTCGGGTTGTGTTCCTTCAGTTAAACATTATCTTTGACATTCGCTTTCACAAGGATAAAATTCCAATCCAAAAGAGGAAAATTATGTAAGCAGGCACTATAGCAAAGGGTTCACTTAAGGCAATATTTTAGCACAAGGAAGGGCGCATGCTTGACAGCTTTTTCCATTTTCTTCACTTCCAATCTCAGATTGCCAGCAGCAACTATGCCATTATGGAATCAATTTCAATTGTCCATTTTCTAAACCCACCATGTGCCTTCTCTTAATATCGTCAATTCTAACCAATGGGTGTTGCGTTAGCTGGATTGGCTCAGGTCTTTTTGTGCTCTCAAGTGATCCAGAATTCAAGCTTTCATAGTATCCGTGTGTGTGAATTTCCCCCCTCCCCCTTCTTAACTTCGACATAATATTGTCAATTCATACCCAAAACAATCATAGCGCATGTGGCTTTGAATGCGAAGATAGCTATGTACTAATTGTCCTTTGCAAAAATGGCCTTAATTAGTCCACAAGCAAAACCCTACATCCTCATCCACATATCCCCTTGAAAACTCCACCTTATAAGACAAAATAATTTGCAAATTTTTTCTTTTCACTTTTCCTGCCCCTTCTTTAGACCTTAAGTTGAAAATGACTAAAATCATAGATTTCAATGGATTGAAAATTGAATGAATTTTCTCACTAAAAAAATGAGGTTGTGTGTGATCAGATGGGTCTAAGAACTCACACCGTCCATTAATAAATTATAGGTTTGTGTGAGCAGATAATGAGACTGGATTGTCAATATCGACAGCTTCTATTGGCTTCTTACTTTCTTCTTTTGCTCAAATATAATAACATGAAGGGCCTCCGTCAACCAATTATAGCCATACAACTTTCTATAATTGCGTGTGCTACAGTGTTCCGATCAGATTAATTTATATGAATTAGCGTTTCCGATGACATTTCTTTGCTAAATATATAACAAGAAATCCCATCATATCATCAAATACTTAGCTGACTTTCAATATTAATCTTTTTTACTCTTTGGACCACACTGCCCTCACATGTCCGTACTGAAAAAGTTCTATTTCGGGGTTTATTTTAAATTATTTCAACAATTATTTTTTAAATTTTTTAATATAAATAATATTCTATTTTAATTTAATCTAAATTACGGAAAGGAAGATTCGAACTCGAGTGCAGAGTGAAGAGCACATCCGCTCTAACCAACTTAACTAAACCCGTATCTATTTTTTTTCAACAATTATTATTCATTAGATACAAACCCCTTTTCTAAAAGTAAATAAATATTGCCATTTGAAACCTCAACTTAATTAGTAAATGTAAATTTCTTTTTATAGGTTGTCGACAGCCCATTTGGCCTATTTTTGGTAGATCAACGGCCGGCTCTTGTACTCGGTCCAAAACCTTTAAAAAGATCCACTACCTAACTTTTTAATTCTTTTTTTTTTTTAAAGGAAAATTTTGATTCGATTATTTATTTTTGTAAAAGCTTTATGGACTGACGGTCTTGCCCTTGCCCATCATAGTCCACGGGCCACTGCGCTGGGAGCTATTGTTGCATCTCGCTCCTCCATTTGTCGCTACCTAAAATCCACGGTTTACTAATTCTTAGGCTTTCAATAAAATTACATATAATAATAATTAGTGAGTTAATTAAGAACAATGAGAAGGGCATTATTGTCCAACCGGACAAGTTTAGAATATACTTGTGCTAGTGAGAAAATATCTGAACGTTTTGCGCTGAGCCTGACTTTTGTCGACTCATTGTTTTCACGTGCACCAGACAAGAAAATAACTTTTTAGACAAAAAAAATAGAGAAAAAAATCTTAAATAAATAAATAAATATTTATTATGGACTATATTACCCCGGATCCAATCGCACCTAACGTGAGTGGGACCATGCCCCTTTTGTGTGAGCGTACAACAATCGCTAGTTCTTATCCCCATCCCCACCACTATAATTCAAACCACCCCATCCAACCCTTCATTGCGAGCGACGTGGACGGCCAGGATGCTCCCACATCGCCTAACATGATTGGTCAAATGTCACATCAAATCCTCTCTACCCCATCCTGATTGGTCCACGCCGCCCATTATTATACTAATTTCTGTATTAAACAATGATAAGCCCCCACCTTCCCCACTCCTCGTTGTCTTAAAAGGCAAAGGAGGGCAAAGGGACAACAGACACTTGGCGCATCCACCAGAGCCCTAAGAAGCAGGAGGAACCGCAGCCACCAGACCACCACCAACATTTTTTTTTAAATTCCCCGATATAGAAACAAGGTAAAAACACAGCATCTTCAAGTAGAATTTTTTGCGTTTTTTGCATTTTTTGCATTTTGGGTTGATATCATTCTTCAAGTTTCTGTCTTTGCTTCTTGTTCATCTGCTTCTTGATCTGTTGATCTGTTGTTTTGTTTTGACAAGTTTCAGTCTTTTTGAGTGGTTTTTTTTGTTTTGCATGATTGAGTGATTTTTTTTGTTTTGCATGAAAAATTTGAGCTCTGGTTGCTCAACAAAAACTCTGTGACCTGGAAATTGATTAGGGGTTAGCTGAAATTGAGTCTTTGTTTGGCTGAAAGTTGACAATGTTAAGTTCCGTGAACTCAAAGGAAGCTCTTTTAGTAAACAGTCGTAGGAAATACAAACTTGACGAAATCTGAAGTTCTCAACTTTTTTTTAAATTTTTTTGGGGTCTGTGTTTCACTCAGATTTTACAAAAATGGGTACCAACATGAACTTCAAGGGATTTGGGAACGACCCACCAGGAATCAACCCATTAGCGAGGCAGTCTTCGATCTATTCGCTGACGTTTGAGGAGTTGCAGAACACCATTGGAGGCTCAGGCAAGGACTTTGGGTCCATGAACATGGACGAGCTCTTGAAGAGCATATGGACGGCTGAAGAGACTCAGATTATGGCTCCATCGGGTGGTGGAGCTGGTGGTCAGAATGGGCTTGGCCTCGGTGGCGGGTCTCTGCAGAGACAGGGCTCGCTGACCCTGCCCAGAACGTTGAGCCAGAAAACTGTTGATGAGGTCTGGAAGAACATCTCAAAAGAAGGGACTGGTGCTGGTGGGTCTAATATGCCTCAGAGGCAACAGACCTTGGGAGAGATGACTTTGGAGGAGTTTCTGGTCAAAGCTGGGGTTGTTAGAGAAGAGGCTCAATTAGCTCCAAAGCCAGCTAATAATGGTGCTGGTTTTTTTGGTGACTTATCTCGTTTTGGTAATACTGGTGGTAATTTGGACTTTGAGTTTCAGCAAACGAATCGTGGTGTCGGGGTTATGGGGAATAGAGTTTCTGAGACCAATAGTCAAGTTCCTAATCAGGCCTCCAATTTGCCATTGAATGCTAATGGGGTTAGATCAAATCAGCAACAACAACAGTTACCACAGCAGCAGCAAATATTTCCCAAGCAGCAACCTGTCACTTACAACACTTCTCCATTGCCTATGGGACCAAATGCTCAACTGGGTAGTCCTGGAATGAGGGGTGGGATTATGGGAATTGGTGATCAGGGTCTGAATGGTACTCTGGTTCAGAGTTCAGGGATGGGAATGGTTGGGTTAGGAGCTGCAGGGGCTGTTCGAGTGGCGACGGGGTCGCCTGCGAACCAGTTGTCATCTGATGGAATTGGGAAGAGTAATGGTACTGATACGTCGTCTGTGTCACCGGTGCCTTATGTGTTTAATGGTGGCTTTAGGGGGAGGAAAGGCGGTGGCCCTGTGGAGAAGGTTGTGGAGAGAAGACAGAGGAGAATGATTAAAAATAGAGAATCAGCTGCCAGGTCCCGAGCTCGCAAGCAGGTGAATATGTCTTTGATTATTTACTGCTTTGATAGGCATATGGTTTCAGCTTATAGTAAATTAAAGCTATTAATTTTTAGAATACAGAGTTACCAGAACTGTGAAATGTAATAAATAAAAAGATAAATTTTTGAATGAAAGTGTGAAATGTTATCAATTTACTCGTCATGCTTGAATGATGGGGCATGTTTGTATGAGTTGGCCTTTAGACACAAAATAATCATAGCTGCCATCTTGACTGTTTAAGCTTTGTGGACTCTGTGTTAAGCCAACATATGTGATTGGATTCAAATCAATATAATTACCACCTCCCAGTAGAAGACTATAAGTTGATTCCAACATGCTGCCAGGTCCTTTAGTCGTGGGCAAAGACCCTTATGCATGCAGCGTTTAGAATCGAAAAGTATTGCTGACTCTTAACAGTTATACATTTCTCGGCCTTTTGGCTAAGATCAGGTGTAGCATCTGTTATAATCGGTTTAATAACTTGACAGTTTTGAGTTATAGAGGAAAACTTATGGTGGATGAAAATCGAGTGACTGAAGTTCCAAGAATGTCGAGAATCGTGTGAAATACACTTTCACCACATGAGGGGGAACCCAGACCTTAATATATTAGTCTCTTGTTATAAGAGAAATTATGTACCGTTCTCTTTTCCTGTGTTTAGTATTTTCTAGAAATAATTATTCTGGAGAAGGTTTAAGAAGAACTAATATATAATGACATCAAGATTAAACAAGTTCATCTTGTTGTCGCATTATCAATTTTGCTAGACATTGACCTTCTGCATTTCTCATCTATTGACTTTTTGTATCCCAAAACTTCATGAAAGATTCATGCGGGAGAATGGTAATGTGATAGCGATTCGACATGACAAGAGATGAAAGTTTGAGAAGTTACAGTCATGAGAAGTTTTAAGGATCCGGTTTATTACAAGGTAATGGAACACTTGTTTAAGGAACATAACATAAAGTCGGGTGTATGATGTCAGAATCATTAAAAAGTTGAAGAAGTTCCATACCTTTTGATCCTAGTTCTGCTTTGAAAGATGCTACACCTGCTTTGAAAAATTGAGATATACCATCTCACAATTTCTTAATGTTTCTTATATATTCTTTCTTGTGCTTCTGTCAGGCTTACACAATGGAGTTGGAAGCCGAAGTTGCAAAACTAAAGGAGGAGAACCAAGAGTTGCAGAAAAAACAGGTTTGTTTTGTTGTTGTGTCACATAGTTGTTGGAAACACGAATTAACGGATGTAATAAACTTAGTGTTTGACACTTATTTACTGTTCATTGGTTGCTGCAGGCTGAAATGATGGAAATGCAGAAGAATCAGGTACTTTGATCTTTCTCTTAAATAAAAAATTGAAATGAATTCAGGAATGATGGTTGCATTGTTGCTTCGCCCAAAAAGCATACCTAGTTGGGTTAAGTATGTTTAGTCGAAACCTGTAGATAAAATTTTCAAATCTTAACTCGGGAATGGTATTCGCCTACTAGCAGTCTAGCATGGAATCTGCCAATCCTTTCCTCTGGAATTGGGTTTTCATATGTACATGAACCATTCATGAGCAAGTGTGAAAGAATAAGTCCCAGCTTTTATTTCCATGTTTCCATACATTAAAACTAGCTGGAGCATCAGCAATCCGCCAAAAGTACAATCTAAAATATTTTCTCTCTGTTGCAGTATTTCTACTATCAGAACAACATTTAGACTTTTCTGCAATCTGATGTAACCAGTTGCCATAGTCGTATTTCTCAAACATGTAGTTGTGGGGTATTGAAGAATTTTTAATTGCATGGTAGGATGTTGCTTATAGGAAGGCCATCAGATAACAATGAGTTACACCAACACACGCGTGCGGGCGTGCGCACACACACACACAAATGAGGTCCTCAGATTAACTATTTATTTAAAGAAGATCATGAATGAGGCTACATTGATACTTTATAATTGGTCAATTTTTGGAACTTGGTCACTTCGCAGGATATGGAGATTATAAATCTTCAACGAGGTAAGAAGCGATGCTTGAGAAGAACGCAGACCGGTCCATGGTAAAGTGCAGAGGAGGGAAGAGGATTCTGATTAGATGGGCTGTACATATTTCAGGAGCATGTCTCTGCTGTAGATTTGAGAGGTTTAGTGTGCTGTAGGATGAACTTAAATCTACATTTTTCATTTGCTTTCTCCTTTGAATATTATGAGTAGAGTAGGTAGGGAGGGGAAGCAAAATATGGTCAGTTAGGACTAGGAGATATCCTTTGGTCCATATTTCAGAGCATGTTTAGTTTCCTACATTAGTCAAACAAATATTTTAACAGCATATCGTGTGTGGTACCTCAAACCATTTGTGGTAATTTTGGTTTGTTATCTTCTTCTTCTTTATATATTAAATGTTATTGTTTTAATTTTTGGACAATAAAGTTGTGAAATAATCAAGATTCAAAGATGTTCTCAATACTGTTGCTCCATAAGCTTGAGTTCACTGGGACAAACTATTTTCGTATGAGGTCTTCACTTCCTGGGGCATGGTTTGAGTTAAACTTACTTGTTGGAGGCATACAAAACTGTAGTCTGTGCATCCAGAAAACAGTTCTGTGAAGTGATGCCGTAAAATATACTAGAACTCATGTCACGTGATCTCCCTTTTGGAAGGATACTATCCAGTGAATAATCAAGAGAAGCACAATAGTCAAAATAACATCAACAATCAATCCTCAATCTTCAATCTCTTTGTTACAGTCATGAGTGTTTTACAAGTTTAAAGATGACAAGGCAATTATGATTTTTGCCCTGAGATCACCAAGACAGCTTAATTTTCACGCTGCAAGTTGAACAGAAGATCTCTCTTCAAACAAGAAATAGTTACCGGTTGAGCACGGTGCCACCTGAATGTTGCTCAATCTATTTCCGAAAAGATGATGTGCCAGTGGACCCAAAGGTCAATGATGCTCTCTTCATAAACTCCACACTCATCAGTTATAGGTGATAAATTTTGATGATCCCAGAAAATTATGGTCGTCGTCTGCCTTGCATGCTTAGTTGTGAAATAATACTGAACAGGTGAATAACATTTTGAATGAGCAAGAAAAGTTCTTTGCAATTGAATTGTTCAAATAAATATCCTCCGATAGTTTCTTCCAGCACCTGGCTGATAGGCTGCTCCAGTGGTCCAGCAGCAACAGTTTTTTTCATATTCAGATACTGAGACTCAGTCTAGTAAGGATAGCCAGGAGTGCATTCCATATCCTTCCAAGATATCATCTTCCTGCGATCCCTTCCTCTAAAAGATCTGGCAACAAGCTGACCAATAACAGGCTTACACAAACCAACATCAACCACAGAAGTGCTCAGTCTCTTTTCAGAAGACGGGGATGCCTCATCCATGTAATAATCGAACAACATTGCCAGACAACAAACCTGATGAGCTAAGATATTATTTTCTTCACCTTGAGGTAACATCTTCACTATGTGCAGATTGACCTGCGAGACGCAAAAGGAAATTGTCAATTTACAGTGCCCATTCAGGAGAGAAGTAAAATATGTAGTACTAAGCAATACACCACAAACAAGGAAAAGGTCATCATACTGCTGCGATGCCGATAAAATAAATACAGACTAGATGGTTAACTAGTGAAAGTGCAAGAATTGAATTACAGATTGAGACAATAGGAACAATAATTCATAGACTAGATGTTAATATGCTTTCACCGAAAGCAACTCAGCAGAAAATGCTTAATCTTGATTTGCGTTTAAAAATCTTTTAAGTGGGAGCAAATATAGTACAGAAAACTACTATGCCATCCCATTTCTCTTATGTCCTGAAGAACCCAGAGCCCAGAACAAAATGCCACCCCCTACTGATTTACAAATGATAGCTACGTCAACTGCTTACCTCTGCTTCCATTGCACGGAGTTCATTATAGCACTCAGAGTCATTGCTCTCTTTATGGTTGTCTCCAGATATACTGTAAAGACTCAATGCAAAAAAAGGAGGCCTCAAAGGATACTCCATGCTGATCTTAATCTGCCATAACAGAAATGATAAGAAATAACGGAAAATTTGGCGCAAAGTATGACAAAATATGATTGGATGGATCATAAGCTACCTTGGCTTCCAACTTCGCTTTCCTCTTATCCGTGTCTATACTCCTGGTTAAAACAAGACTAAATTCTCTGACCCCAAAATCCATCCATGAGTTTCCAGCAACCTCAAAGCATTCAATAGGCACTCCATTTTCTTCCTCTGGCACAACATGTGCTGGTTCGTCAAGATCACTCTCAATATCCAGCAAAAAATCTGAATCTTCATCATGTTTCTTAAAACTTAGCGATTTTGCTTTGCTGATAGGAGGACTTTTTGAAAGTAAAGCCAGCCGCCTGGAGCGGTCAAGATTAGCTCCTTTTTGGTGAGCAAGTTTAGTATCACTGGAAACTGATGCAACTGGAACCAAAGATGGAAGTTCCCCATCTTCCCTCATACTCTCCAGCTCTTCCTTTGAAGAACCAGAACGTCCAACCAAATCAACATCCATAGGTTCCTGACCCTGCTCCTTATCTATGACAGACAAAGATGATGCCAGATTAGGTGGAGGTCCTACAGGTGAAAAACCATGCAATTTGCACAAAGGGGTATGCAAAACCCATGGAACACTTTCACAAGACAAAGCAGGCCATTTAAGCTTCATAAGTGATTCAATCTGTTCCCTGTAAGCCAATCAAAGAATGCCAACTTCTCAACATAGGGCATACCTTACCACATTCACAAATAAGACACTAAGAGACTTCCAATAGAAAGAAAAACTGTCAAATACACATAAAAGTTATAGATAGATAGAGCAGATTTAAGTTCCAAAGAAACGGGCAAGGAATTAAAAATATAAATAAAATAAAACACACACACACACACACACACACAACACAAAAACTAGCTACTTTATACCAAAAGAAGTGCCAATAGCAGTCACAACCAAGTAGAACAAAACCACTAGAGCTAACATTCTGATTTGATCACATTGGTGTATCCTTATCCTACAGATTTTCTAGAATGTTCTTGATGATACAAGATGCTAAATATACTGAGCAGTGACTCACACAAGAGCCATCTGAGCTTTTTTCCGGGAGCGAATTCTTCGTACAACTGTCTGTATTCGATTCTGCTGGCGATAAAGTGACAGACCAGATATAACATCATGTTTAACTGTATCACCACTTGGAGTTTCAGGGGCAGCAAGCAAAGGTGACACCTCAGGCAAGAAATCAATTCCGGCCAAATGTTGAGCCCACTTATATGGACGGGAAGTTCTCCTTTCCTCAAAGGCAGGAGCATCACCAACAATGAGCTTGGCTGACTGCATCAGTAAGTACAAAATAAATATGAGCACTATATGAACTGTTAATAGAATAGGCAGAATGAGAGACAAAGAGGATGGAGAGGGATAAGACTTAAACCCGCACATAGATAACCAAAGACCACCAAGAAAACATTACTACCTGATGGGGAAGCTCAAGGCCAGTGTCATCTGGGAATAGGTTGCATAAGATGTTATTCTCCGCTACCTCATGGGATCCATCAATTCCAACACATACAACATTCAACTTCAACAAATACTCAAACTTGAGGGTCATAAGTTTTGAAGACTTTGGATCAGAAGCCTCATCATCATGAATATGAAGGATGATTTTCAGCGGATGAACTTGATATACCCCTGATTGCTCAAGGTTCTGCTTGACTGGAACCCTCTTCGGCCGCTTTCTCCTTCTCTGCCCATCATCTTCCTCATCTGGTGCATCATCCTCCAGCCTACTAGTCTCCGCATTGGTTGAAACGCCTGTTCCATTACATAACATTAGTATTTAACTATTTTTTTTCTTCTTTTATTTTTAGACTGAGCAGACTGAAAACCAAATCCAAAAACAAATACCACAGCACTCATAAATTGATTAATTTCATCTGGGCAAGTTTATGCCCATTGAAAGCATCCAAATTTATGTTCATAACTACATATTAAGAGTCGAGCATTAGTTACCAGTATCCTTGTTTGCTTGCTGGTGAGCAAAAGCTTGAGCTTCCTTCACACTTCCCACTATCTCCAACTCAATTTGCTCATCAAACGCTTCTTTCTGCGCCGTGAACTGAGAGTAAACTACATATAAAGGCGGCGGAAGCAACTCGGCCGAGTGGTGCTGCTTGAGCTTCTTGGTATGTTGAAGCCCTAACTGATTCTGCACCGGCAACGACGCCTTCTTCAGCGACTTCAGATGCGAAGGAAGACTCGACAGGAACTTCTTCCGATTCGCAATCGTCTCCAACAGACCCTTCCTATGTATCTCCAACTTCTGATGAAGCTTGCAGAGCTCTTTCCGCTGAAACAGCTCAAAATTGAGCCTCTTCATCATAAGGTCGTGCGCGACGTCGTTTGACAATGTCGGCGCTTTGATATGGCCAGGGGAGTCGCGAAAGAACTCTTCTTCAGGCACGAGCTCGATGTCTGGGTACTTGGACTTGAAGTCTTTGCAAGCTTTAATGGCTTTAACGTAGTGACTCTTCTCGTACATCAGATTATGGAGCTGCAACGTCGTCAAGTCCACCGGTGCCTTCGCGCTTTCTGTCTCGGCTTTCACTCGGTCTTCATCGAGCAAGATCGAACGATTCGCCTGCAAATTCAATCAAACAAAACGCAAAATTCAACAAAAACCCTAAAACCCTAAAATTTGAATAATGGGAAACCCTAAGACAGTTTCAGAACCTGGCGGAGGGTGACGAAATTGAGGAACATTTGAGTGACGAGCTCGCGGAGCTCCGATTTAGGTTTGTTTTCTTGTTTAATGGCGAGCATCTTCGTCACTATCTCCTCAACTGAGGACTTGCTCTCTTGAAGCATTTCGTACGGCGACTTCTCTGGTTTCTTCTGCGTCTGAACAGCTTCTTCCTCCACCAGCATCCCCTCCTCTATCTCATCGTCTTCCATGTTTCTCCTCAATTGCTTTCGCTGTGTGTCTGTGTCTTCGCTTTGTATTTTGCCTTTTTTATATAATAAAAATGAAGAAAGAAAGAAAGAGAGAAAGAAATTGCTTTATATTTCCCTCCAGCGCGAAACGGCGTCGTTTCATATTGCGGCGGTGCTATAGAAAGAGGGACGCCGAGTAATTTGGAGCTGTTCTGCGGCTATGGTGACTATGGCAGAACTTGAAGAGCAAGGTCCTGCCATGACAACTCTCGGCTCTCTCTTGAAGCTCACCGAAGTCTTTCTCTGGTTCATCTCTTTGCCTCTGTTTCTCTCTGACCAAATATTAGGGCATTGCCTTTACTCTCTGTGTACTGTGATTACTCGGTTTTCTAAGTCCGCGTATGCTTTGGCAGGGACGATGGTTTGGAGACGAAAGACAGGTCCTTTTCCATTGGACAAACTGTAAGTCTTTGGTTTTTTTAGCTCAATTGCAGTTTTCTTTTTGAAAGCTTGAGACTTTCTGTTGAATGCTTTGAATCTCGCCCTGTAATTTCAGAAACCAGCTGGCGATGGTAGTGGTGAAGGCTCAAACCTTCTGGATTCAGGCTAGTTATTCACTTTCATTGAACGCTATAATTAAGTTATGCGTCTCTACTCTCAATTGTTTTTATAAGTTTTAGTGGGAATTTCTGGGTTTCAGAGTGTGGAACTTTGCCAGAGGATATGGAGCTTACTAAACAGATGAATGCATTGGGGCTTCCAGTCTCATTCCTCACAAATAAGGAAGTAAGTTAACATTTCTATGTAGAACTATGTCATTTCAATTGAAGATAAAATACTGCTTAAACCGCATTCACATCTACTACCAGAAGGACAAGTGATAATTTTTGGTCTGTTGATTTGATAATGGTACCCATTTGCAGAAGAGGAACAGAAAGGCGGAAGGCAAAAGAAAGGTTATGCGCTTGAAGCATCCAGTCACTTCCCAACGCTATGTGGTGGAAGCACTGGAGTCCTCCAAAGTGAGTGTGGAGGAGATTGCATCTCCCGTTAATTTTGATGGTAACACAGGCATTTCTTTGTCTTGTATATCAATGATGGGTCAAAGTGAATCATCTTCCTCAGATGTTGCAGTGGATGCCATTAAATTTCAGTGCCTCTCTGTTGAAGGAGATAATCCAGCAAGTTCAACTGAGATTACTAGCGATGCTTCCAAGGAACAAGATTGTGATGGAATATTGGGTGTTGTTTGTAATGATGGCCAGGATTATGATTCTTTACACAGCAGTGCTGTGGTCAATGACAAAATGAAAATTTCAGCGAGCACTACTGATTTAAATGATGGAATTTTCTCAGGAAGCTGCTCAACAGATGCTGCTATTAGCCAGGAATCAGGTGGAAGATTAATGGAGCATGATCACTTAGAGTGTTCATTGATGACTTTGCATGAAGCAGAAGGTGCTAAGATTTGCGAGGATTATGTCCCTGAGAAACCATGTGTTTCTGAATCAGTTTCATATTCCACGTGTTCAGAAGTGCTTGACCATGATGGATCTGACAGCCAGGACAACGGTGATGTTGGAGACTGGATGGTATATTGGGATTCTTACTACATGAGGAATTACTTCTATAATATCAGAACAAGTACTTCGACATGGCACCCACCCCAAGGCATGGAATTTTTAGCAACTGTTGACACTACATATAAGTCAAATGAAATGACTGCTCAAGTAATTGAGATGAATGTTACCACTGATTTAGAGACAACAGATTTATGTGGTTTGAGTAAAACTGAATCATTTGAAGAAGCAATCAGTGATGATGTTTCACAGGGTCAGCCATATTGTGAGCTCAGGGGGGGCCTTGAACTCACTGTTGACAATTCCATGTCTGATACAACTTTGCCAACTGGCAGTCTAAGCAGATGTCTGGAACATTCAGTTGAACTTAATGAAAGCAATAACACCAGTAATGATGGAAATGCATCATACTTGTCATCAAATGTCCAGGACCTTGCTCGGTATGTTGTCTTCTTATATCTGCATCTTCTCCCATTGAAATTCATTTTTCTGATTGATAATGTTACTAAATGACGACCCTGAGACTTTTCATTGGATGGTGCTCACAGTTTCAGAAACAAAACCAAGCAGTTGGTTGCCGATGAGGTCTACAAAAATGATTTGGAACCAACTCTTCCGGAAAAAACTGATGAACCAAATACTATTGATCTCTATAATGAACCTAGTAAAATTAACTCTTGTGAGGAAACCCTTGAAGATTTTGAAGGTGATGACGCCTTTCAAATATTAGATATGAGCAGGTAGAATTCAAAATAACGGCCTTGATTGGCGCTGTTTCAGCTTGTTTTGTTTTCCTGAAACCCATATGAACTTTTGTCTACTACTTTTTTGTTTGCAGCTTGTCCAATACATACACTGAAAAAGTTTCTGAAGATTTTAATATGCATTCAGGAACTGGAGTTCCTGCAATAAATGAGATGGAAATGCATCATGACCTTTCTGTAGTAAAACGGAAAAAGAAAGTGAGAAGAACGAAAATTCAGAGGAAATTATCTAATGAGAATGAAGGTTAGTGAATTAACTTTTTTGCTACTATTAGTGCATTTATATATATATTTTTTCTCTGCATTTGCATCCTTTCTGATGAACCATTCTCGTATTGCAGAACTTCTGTTTCAAGGGTTATTCAAAGAGTTTTCTGCTGATATTGGCAAATATTGGTGTCAGAGATACCGATTATTCTCCAGATACGATGATGGTATAAAATTGGATGAGGAAGGATGGTTCTCTGTTACTCCAGAACCTCTAGCTAGGCATCATGCAGAACGTTGTGGTAGTGGCATCATCATTGACTGTTTTACTGGAGTTGGTGGGAATTCCATCCAATTTGCACATATGTGAGTAATACAGTGAATGTCTTACAATTTACTGTTGTTATTCCAAAGTTCCTCCTGGTAAACCTGATGAGTCTTATGGTAAGGAAAAAACTTGTTGGAAAGTGTTATCTTATACAGTGGGTCTGATCGTAGGATCTTAAGACTAGAAACTACTAATTCCAAAAAATATATTTTGAATGATCACTTTTTAAGTACAGTTCAGTTATCAAAGAAGACCAGGTAGATAATACAGGCACACAAGCACATTTATGTGCCTGCATGCATTTTAGTGTGTCTATGCATGTACTGATGTATATTTGGTAGTAAAAACTTCTGGCCTAATCAAGCATTCAAGTAAGCTTCTGATTCTGAAGTTGCAGTTAGGGGAGGCACCATCAAAATAGATGATTAATAGTTGATGATGTTCTTTCATCCATTGAAAGGTTTGGTCTAGCTGACATTTTCACTGACTTTCATCCCTTGACTGATATTCTTTCATCTCACTGACATTATCATTTCAAAATTCCCTGTAGGTTACTTTCTGCGTTCATATTGTTGACATTAAACAGATTGAGACATGTTATGATGCATAATAATGATTCATGTTGATGAAGAACATATGTTTTTAATGGATATATTGCATAACATTAATTGTATGCTAGTTTGACCACCTGTTTTACATTATAATATTTTCAGTTCAATTGGCAAATTCAGTACTCTTTTGTTATTTATTTTATTAATTAGTTGACTGATAAAGAATAATTTTAGTACCTTTAAAATTGATGAACCGATGTCTGAGATTTTAAGCAGGACCCAGGCTGCTGCTTTTTTATTTATTTAGTTTTTCACATACATGTGATACTGCAGAAGCAAACATGTGATAGCAATTGATATTGATCCAAAGAAGATTGATTATGCGCACCATAATGCTGCCATCTATGGGGTTGATGACAGGATAGATTTCATAAAGGGGGACTTTTTTGATTTGGCACCAAAGCTGAAGGTACTAAAACAATTTTCAATGTTGTATTTTGTATGTTTGGGATTGCAAAATGCTTTCTGTTATGCTTTACTAGACCCTGTGTTTTGGTAGATTTCCTTGGTTGTATTTGTAGAGGGGTACCTTTGACAATATTTTGTTCAGCAGGTTTTTGGCATTTCTGTTGTTTTGCTATTGATTACCCAATGCTGGGTGGTGGCAATTCTGAATTGCTGTAGTTTTTGACACTATCATAGTTTTGTTGAATAATTTTTAGACTTATCTCTGCTGGTTTATGTAATAGGTGCCGAATATGCCGCATAATTATACTTGGAAGTCATTAGGTTTTTAGTTAACAAATTATATACTTGACTTTTTATTTTTAGCTTTTTTTAATTTCTTCAGTTATCAATATTCCTTTTACTGCAGGCAGACACAGTCTTTTTGTCACCTCCGTGGGGAGGACCTGATTATGCAAAAGTAAAGACATATGACCTTAGGATGCTTAAGCCACATGATGGGTGCGTTTCCTCGCCCTTATTTCCTTTTTTGTTGTTATTCTTTTAAATTCCTGAGTTGAAATCATATTAATTTTCTCATCCTTTATTACTCATTGTGCAGATATTTTCTCTTTAACACTGCAAAAGAAGTTGCTTCTAGGATTGTCATGTTTCTTCCGAGAAATGTTGATCTCAACCAATTAGCAGAGTTGGCTTTATCAGGGAGTCGACCATGGTCATTAGAGGTACTTTCTTATCTTTTTGTTTTTCAAATTCAAAATGCCTTCAAGTTTATTGGCCCCTACCACCCCTCTTATCACATGGCTGAATAGTAGTTGTGTGAATAAAAAGATTGTGGAGCCATTTTCATACTAAAGACAGAATGAAAATCCTTCAGAGATCTGAAAGTGATCGTAACTAAAGGGACAAAAGGAAAATCACTGCGTACCAAGAAAGAAAAGAGGTAGATCATACATGTTTATTAGTTGGCAAAGCAGCATGGCATTGAGGCTTGAACTTGGGGGTGAGCTCTTGACAGTAAGTAGATTTTACTCTGTCCCCACTCTCCACCACTGGATAGTGGTGCCTGGAGAGACCCATCGATCTAGAATAACAATTTCATGTTTTCATTTGCTGTAATTGTTAGGCCAGGAATATTGTTAATTTCTTTTCTGTAATCTATGACCAAATAGAGTATGACACTCTAATCTGAGTGTTGGGGTATTTGGTTTCAGGTAGAGAAAAATTTTTTAACTGGCAAGTTGAAGGGCATAACTGCTTACTTCAGTGACACGACTGGGAGACAATGATAGTTTTAGCTTTATTCATAAGAGATGAATATTGAGCAGCTTTCAAGGGTGCGCGTTAATGCAATGTTGTTACTCACCATAAGCGGTTTGGTAGTTGCAGTTTTGATTTTGAATCGCAGAAACCATTTGCCTTGTGTTGGCCGGAGCCTCATGCAATTGAACTTTTTTCACTCTATAACTATTATTGGTGAGATGAAAAGTTTCAGCTCTGTATTATTGTACAGTCATCTAAGCTAGTGTGATGCAATTCTAGTCATGTTGTAAAAGCAACAGTCATGTATCAATAATCAATGAGCTGTGTTCTGATTGAAATATATACATAACTTTTACTGCAAGAAAACGTTGTTTTTACCCTCTGACTTGATTATAGACATAGATCAGATTTACTTGTTCTTGAGATTTGTTGTTGATAACCTTTTTCAGTCAGATTTGGAAACTTTCCATTAAAAACAGTCGGATTTTGTAACATGTTGTGAGCTGCATAAATCCGGCTTGAGCGGCACGAATTCAGGTTTGTGTAGCTGCCATGGCCCATGGGCGTGGGTTTGGACATAATAATGGCTCGACTTCTTTCTCGAGAGTCAAAATATTCCCCCCTTTTATGGCTCAATTTTCTCATAAAGATTGAATTACCCACCCCAGCAAACCAAATTATATATAAACCAACCAAATTATATCCATTTGTCTTATCCCAAGTGTGATTTGACGGTGATGAAAAATAGCAACTCCTATATTCTTGTCAATGACAGTATGGCATGTGTGTATAAGTTTTTTTTGTATTTTTGATGAAGTATTTTTGCACATGTGTTAAATTGTGATTTACAAGAATTCTAGAGAAAGAAGCAAAGCAGTTCCAAAAAAATATTGAGAAGGTTTGAGCATCTCCAAGGGAAGAGACAAAAGAGTTGGCAAACCTCATTTGTCTTGCCACATCAGCATTTTCATGCTCCAAGGGAAGAGGCAAATGGGTAGGCAAAATATACCTACTCTTCTCAACAATGCAATATTGCCTACTTGAAAGTGAAGAGGTATATTAGGCCTCACTTGCTTTTTATAATAAAATATCATCTCTATTCTCTCACCTACTTTTTATAAAATATAATAGTAAATGTAAAAGATAAAAATTAGGCCTCACTTGCTTTTTATAATAAAATATCATCTCTATTCTCTCACCTACTTTTTATAAAATATAATAGTAAATGTAAAATATAAAAATAAATAGGGAGTTTCACTAAAACACCCAAAATGGGGGTTGAAATTATAAAAAAACCCAACACTCAAAACCCATTTATAAACACACCCAAAAAATATACAATTGTTGACTTTGGGGTTGATTTTGGGTGTGTTTATATGTTTAAATAGTGTGTGGGTTTTTTTATAAATACATGTCTAGGATTGGGTTTATTTATAATAATCTAAAATAAATAATATAACAATGATTTGTAAACTTGCATTGCCTAATCCCTTGGAGTGAGTGACCAACTTTTTTCATAAGGCAAATGGGTAGGCAACATACCACCTAGGTTGTTATACTACAATTTTGCATACTTCATTTACGTACTCCCTTGGATAAGACAAAGACAAATTATGGCATATCAAATAAGCTTATTTACTTTAGTGCCCCTTGAAACTTCAGTCAAATTTTACTTTATCCCCCAAGTTAAAGTGACCCACTTAAACTCCTTGATCATGATTTTGTGTTCCACTTGACCCCCACCGTTATCTCAATTAATAACTTTGTTAGTTTTGATGATGGGGCATGGCTATTTTAGTCTTTTTACTATAAGTGATGATGTGCCCTGTGATGGGCCCACTTTTTTTCTTCAAACTGAATTAAATATATAATTAATTCTTTAATTATATATATATATATATATATATATATAGATAAATAAATAAATAAATTTGTTTCTTCTCTATGCTTTAAAAATAAAAATAAATAAATAAATAAGTTCTACCCAGATCCAACTCTACCCAACAACACCTGCCGAAGCGGCTTCCCCAACCCCTCTCCACTCCTCTAATGGTGGAGGCACATAGGGACCAATGCAATCACTGGCCCTCACTGAGACTGCACTGGCCCCACTGAAATTTTTTTATAACAAAAAAAAAGAAAAAAGAAAGTACTAGTATGCAGCCCAATTTCCTCTAAGCTAAAAGTCCTTTACCACATAGGCCATATTTAGCAGCCAAAAGTAGTATTTAGCCAAAACTACATGACCATGTGGGCCCTACTGACCAACCAAATTTCCTACAACCATACGCTACCCATTCCTAAAAGGATTAGAATTATTATTATAATTATATATTATCTTCTTATATAAATCAATAAACCTAAGCCTTTTTCTCTTTTATTGGGTCATAAACACAACCAGACTAGCTAGTTGCTTGTGCATTTGTTTTTCTTCTCAAATTCTAATTATATTATCAAGTTTTTTTATTTCTATTGATTTTAATGAGTCTTTCAATTTATATGTAGATTACCAAAGGGAAAAGGCTTTGGAGATATTTTCTGCTATGAATATTGTGAAGAATCGGTTACGCAATCAAATGGGGGATTTGTGGATGAATGATTACTTGGTTGCATATATTGAGAAAGACATTTTTAATAGTATAGATTACGAGGTTGTTATGCAACGATTTCAAAATATGAAAACTCATCAAGGACAATTATGATTGTAATGAATAAACAATATAGACAATATGATTTTTGATGTTTTGATGTTTTGATGTCTTGTAACTTTGAAGTTTTTATTATTTATATTTTGTGAGAGGCCCCTAAACACATGAAATCATGGCTTCACAACTACAGTCCTCCATGCTTCTTCCTTCCAATTTCCAAAACATAAAAAAGAAAATAAAAGATCAATCCTTATCCCCAAAGAATGGCCTCATCCTTCCTCATTTATCCTTTCTCTGCAACCAACCACCGCACCATCATCCATAACCATCCAAACCAACCACCAGCCATACCATCAGAGGACCCGCAGTACATGATCGAGCCCAAGACGTTGACAGTGAATGCTGTCATCGCGCCTCTTTCTTCAGCAACATTTGCTCTCTCTTCCAAACTTTGACTGTCTCGTCCACCGACCCAATGTACACCAACCCCTCGACATTGGCGACGATGGAGTTGTCGTTGTGGCCGTGGATGGACGAAATGACATTAGAGTGCTTGGTCCACAGGGTTTTTTGTCTTTTGTTTTGAATTATTGTTTGAAAAGCTAGTGATTTAGGGTTTGTCCATTTGATTTGGAGTAAAAATGTTTCAAGCTAGGTATAGAATGAGGGAATTTTGGGTTTGAATGTGGGGATTGAAGGCTGGGATTTGGGGATGATTTGATTGGAGAGAATCGTTGGAAAGCCTAGGTTTGTTTTGGGGGAGAGAGAGATCGAGAGGCATAAAGAAGAAAGATTTTTATTTATTAAATTTTTTATTTTTTATATATTTTTTTAATTAAACATGTAATTATTATTATTATTATTATTTTATATTTTATTTAATTTAAACAAAAAAAGTGGGCTCTTCACATGACATGTCATCACTTGTGGTAAAAAGACTAAAATGGATATGTCACATCATCAAAACTGACTGAATTATTAATGGAGATAAAGGTGGGAGTAAAGTGGAACACGAAATCATGGTCAATGAGGTTAAGTAAGCCACTTTAACTTTGAGAGTCAAAATGAAATTTGACCGAAATTTCAAGGATTACTACAGTAAATAAGTCTATAAAATATGGGTCACTTTGGATGGTGATGTGAACATAAAGATGTTGGATGTAGCTGCCAAGTGCCAACCCGTGGCTGCTTTTTGCTGTGACAAATAATAAACAAGAAGCAAACAGTTTCCTACTTCTTCCTGTGAATCTGTGACATTGGGTTGTCTGTATTATTGTATTGCTTGGTTTATATCAACTCTCCCATAATTTCAACGATTATGACCTTGGATTTGTAACCAAATGAGGAGATTTCAAATCCTTTTCTTTAGATGAATCCCACAGTATTCACAAATGTATGAAAGGACGCAGGGACAAACCTAGGATTTCAAAATGGAGTGGGCTAAACTTACCTTACGTACAAAGGTACTAAGTAGATAGAAAACTTAACAATACCATGTAATTTCATTGATAACAAAAAAGAACACATATTTAATAAGCAAGAACAATATAATCAATTACAAATCCTATTTGATAATTCATAATTCATAAATTGAAACTGATAAGCCCCAATTACTAATCCCTAATTTATAATTCATAAGTTTCAATTGCAAATCCTAATTGATACTTCATAAACTCCAAAAAAAATCATCAAATTAAAACATCAACAAATTGAGAGAAGCTTACCTTACGAATATACGAACTTGGTTCACTTGAATTGAGTCTTGAAGGTGAGTGCAGTGGCAACAAGAGCGTTCTTTTTTATTTCTCTACGTGCAAGTGTAAGGTGCTTCTTCTTTTCTTTTTTTTCTTTTTTTTTTCTACGTGCTGTATGTGAGTTCTTTTTTCTCTTTTTTTGTTTTTTTCTATATGTTGTGTGCGAGTTTTTTTTTCTTTTCTTATCCTTTTATTGACTACGTGTTGTTCAATGAGGAGAATTAAAGAAGACTAGGTTATTTAAATTGGGTGAGTTATGATTTTTTTTTTTTGGGCTTGAAAAATAGAAGCCCAAGTTAGCCAAACTTAGGGTCCGTCCCTGAAGGGACGTCTATGAATAATATTATACAACCTAATGTGCTAACAGATTATATTATTAGGTATTGCGAATCACGTATTGTAAGGTTGATATACATTATTGACTTATTCTTTTATGGTTTAAATTTTTTGGTGCAGGGTAGGGCTACATCTATATGTTTGTCTCTCTATTCTTATTGGTATGCCTCTCTACGTGTAAATGAGCATGCACGTGAGGAAGGGGGTAAGCTTAATATACATTGTTGGCTCATTATCTGACAACTTAAATTTTTTAGACTAATAATTATCTAAAACATATGTCGTCCAATCTAAAACCAAATAACAATTACGTAAAAAATCAGAACACATAAATTACTATTATGCAATATAATGCAAGCCTTACACATTCTCTCAATGTGGAATTTACTCACATCAGACAACATTATCAAGGGCGGGAAAATTGAAATCAATTGTGAAATTCATTCACCGAAAAAAACATCATTGATTTGTCAATTGTATCATTACAATTCAAAATCCATGTCACCCAAAAGTTACGCACCGGAAGTCCATGTTATCCCACACCTGGCTCCAAACCCGGACCCAGTTCCTGACATATGACACGTGGGCCCAACTCTCATTTTTCCCTCTATAATTAACTACCATCATT